TTGTTGACGCCGAGAGGAAAATTCAGAGGCGTGCGATTCAATCCGGCGCTCTGGCCGAGCGGTTGGGGCATGGACGACGACGTGGGAATGGCGATGTTTCGAGCGTGCGCGGAGGCGACGCCACCGGCGGTGGTGGGCTTCATGTGCTTTCACGGATTAAAGCCGCAGATTCCGGCGATTCGGGCGCTGTGCGAGGCGGAGCCGACGGTGCCAGTTTTGATCGATCACTTTGGCTTCACGAAGGGCATCGAGGACGAGGGGTTCGAGGATCTGTTAGCCCTAGGGCGAGACTTTGAGCAGATACATGTCAAGTGCTCGGCGCACTTTCGAGTGCGAGTGGCGACAGAGGACGGATCGGATTCCACCGAGCGACAGTTGAGGCGATTGATTGAGACGTTTGGGCGAGAGCGCATCGTGTGGGGATCGGATTATCCGTTCGTGACCATGGAGGACGGCGGGTACGCTGGCGCTGTCGGATTATTGGAGTCTCAGCTCGCCGCCGATCCTGAGTTGATCGATATGATCCGCGGAGAGAATTTCATGCGTCTGTTTCCAGGTGCGGTTGAGGCGTAGGCGTTTTTATTTTGCGTGTTGTTTAATTCTTAAAGATACAGTTCTAGCTCAGCATTGCACTATCCACATCCACCTCCGCCGCCCCCGCGCGGAAGTTCGTCTTCGTAATCACCGCGCGCCCATTTCTTAAAATCTTCAAACATCTCCTTCGGCTTGTTGGGAATGCTTTCAATTGCGTTGAAAATGTCCAGCAGATCCTGGTTCGGGTCTTCCATTGGGAAGCAGAACGCGATAAAAGGGTTGAAACGCATGGAGACGTACGTGAGGCGGAAGATTGGGTCGAGGATGTCGTTGAGGTTGACGCCGGAGATTCGGCTCATTTACGACGACTCGTTCGAGCGCGGGCAAAAGGTGAGCGCGCTGTTGGATGAAATTAGGCAAGAGAATCGGAATAGGACGGCGAAAAAGTACGGGAAGATGGCTTTACTGTCCATCGAGGATACGATCGCCGAGCGCGGGGACGTGGAGGAGGATGAGGACGAGAGCGAGTGGGGCGACGACGACGACGCGGTGTGGGACGAAATGCTCGAGGGCGTTGAGGACGCGATGGCTGAGTTTGGCGACGACGACGACGACGACGACGACGACGACGACGACGACGACGACGACGACGCATCTGGCATTAAGATCATCAACGTCTAATAGATTGATTGATTAGTTTTCATGTAATCTTCTGCTAAGTCTACGGCCGCGTCACAGCGTACTTAAAACGTTCTGACATTTCGACGCTAAAATTTTCACAGCCTCCTTGAAAATTGTGCCAGGTTTCATCTGACCGACGGATTCGATGGTGAAGATGAAGTGATTCTTGTGTTTTCGAACGGCGATCTTCTCATCCCATCCCGGCTCGCCCGTGAGCTCTCGCACCCTCTCGACGCACAAATCGCACCCGCGCGTTTCGACAACCTTCACCGTCTTCTTATCACCCTTGCCCTCGCACGCGTAGCACGCGTGCGTGTCGTTGAAGTTTGCGCACCTCTCCATGAACACATCCGCGTCGGCTCCCGTGATTGGTTCTAAAATCGTAATCTCCGGGACCATTCTGTACCAACACGTCCCCACTGGCGACCACTTTGAGTGCTCCTGACCGATGCCCTTGACGCAGTGACACTCGAGCTCAATCTCTTGACCTGGTGCTAGTTTGACGAGCAAAATGTCGTCGTGCACGCACCCAAGCTCCTCTTCGCCGAAACTCTCGCGTTGCGAGCGCTTAAAGTCGGAGTACTTCGCCCTCTCTTCCTCAGGCAGTTGGCTTCCGTCCGGACACCACTGCAGCGCGTTCGAGTACACGCTTCGGTTGACCACCTCGCCGAGAGACCCGTCGTCCAAACGCTCGCGGTGACACCTCGCGTGAAGGCTCAAAACGATCGTGTTCGTCTCATTTGCCAAATCGTTCGGGCCTCTGTATTCAAACCGCGCCGGATCCGCCTTGATCGGAACCAAACCGAGCCGGTGCGCGAAAACCTCGTCCGGCACCACGCTCGTGTTGTTAATCATGTAAACCTTCTCGATCGCCATCGTCGGCACCTCCGAGATTATGATTCGACGAAACGCATTCGCAAACGCCGCCGAGCATCCCTCCATCTCGAACACCACCCGCTCCTCACTCGCGTCCGTGATCGTCAGCGCGAACGTCTCTCGAAACGCGTCAACCGAAAACGCCCCCTCGCCCTCCATCGACGCGTACGCCCCACCGTACGCGATCTCCTTCGCGTTCGCGTTTCGATCCGCGCCAGCGATGAGGTATTTCTTCTGTTCCTCGATCTTCGCCAGCATCTTCGCCATTTGCTCGGTGATCTCGTCCGCGTCGTCGCCGCCGCCGGCGCCGGTGGGCCGTCCCATGATTCCCTCCCGCGCGCGACGCGCCCGCTCGCGCGCGCGCGCGCGGTCGTCGTCGACGCCGCGGACGTCCCCGAACCCGCGATCGGGCGACGCGCGCGGTCGTCGACGCGTCCGTCGATGCGGCGCGCGCGCGGCGGACGCGGGTCGATGCACGACGCGCGAAATCGGTCGGTACATCTCGCGACCAATCACAACGCCCGTGTATACCTCACGACCAATCACGACTCAAAATCGCCCGGTACATCTCGCGACCAATCACAACGCGCGTGTATACCTCACGACCAATCACAACTCTAAAAATCGGTCGGTCTCGCACGCGCGTCTCGCGTGTCGCGCTTCAAACGCCCGCGCGACAGCTCAGCCCTCTCGCCGCGCGCGTCGTCCGCGCGGGCGCGGCGACGTCCTCGAGGGCGCGGCGGGTGGAACGTCGATCGTGGACGTCGCGCCGCGCGTCGCGATGGACGGCTGGGACGACGACGACGACGACGCGTTCGTTTTGGCGAATGTCGACGTTGACGCCGTCGCGCGTCGCGCGCTGGCGTCCAGGCTGAACGATGGCGACGCGAACGACGCGGTGCGAACGCGAAAGTCGATGGGGGATAAAAATGCGATCGCGGTGCGGCGCGGTGGCGACTTGAGCGGGAGAAAAGAGAATTTAGATGACGTTCCGCTGCGCGCGCGCGCCGAGTTCGCAAAGTCGCGCGACGAAGCGAAGAAAACGGGCGACGGTGGACAGTTGACGGTGACATCGATGTTTGCGGCGGCGGTGGGAACGCGGGCGGCGCCAACGACGGTGATGGGGGAGATACAGGAGCGCGTGAAGTCGGGCGCGCGGGCGTCGGCGGCGAATCAAGGCGCACCCACGGGAGAGGATCGAGGCGGTTGGAAGCGAAAGCGACCGGAGCAGGAGCGGGGGAAGCGCAAGCATCAGGGGACTTTACCGAAGGAACTCATGATACGGAAGTCGAACGATGCGAAGGAGTTGGAGGCGTTACGAACAAACCTGCCTCCGGATGCCTTGGGCGCGCGAGACGCCGCCGGACTGACGATGTGTCCAACCGCGGGTGGTCCGGAAGGTTTGCCCATGGACCCGGAGGCTATACAGACGTATGTCTATCCAGCGCAGATAGCTCGGAGAGAGTATCAGTACGAAATCACGCGAAACGCGTTGTTGACGAACTCGCTCGTGTGTCTACCGACAGGTCTGGGGAAGACGCTCATCGCCGCGGTGGTCATGTTCAATTATTACAGATGGTTTCCAACCGGGAAGATCATCTTTATGGCCCCAACGCGACCGCTTGTCGATCAACAGATGGCGGCATGTCACGGAATGCTGGGCATTCCGAGGGAAGATACCGTCGTGCTCATGGGAACGACGAAGAAGGATGAGAGCGGGTCGCGGAGAGATTTTTGGCAACAGAAGCGTGTCTTCTTTTGCACTCCACACACGGTTCACAATGATCTAGAAAATGGTGATTTGGATGCGAATCAAGTTGTCTGCGTCGTCGTCGATGAGGCGCATCACGCCAGAGGGCAATACGCCTCCGCGGAGGTGCTTCGTGTGCTAACGGAGCAAAAAGTTAGATTTCGTCTTTTGGCGCTCACTGCGACGCCTGGGCAAGGTCTAGAGGAAGTTCAGGCGGTGGTGAAGACTTTGCGGATCGGGCGCATCGATTTTAGGAGCGATCAAGACCCGGACGTTTCTAGATACACACACAAACGTGAGATGATCGTTGAGAAGGTCAAACCCGACCAGGCGATGTCTCATGTGCAAGACATGTTGTGCGATTTACTGCGACCGTACTGCGCCAAGCTCGCCAGCATGGGCGCACTCGGTGAGAACTCTTATCGTATGCAGCAATTTATCAACAACAGAGCCACGCATGGCGCGTCACGAATAGAGCCTCCAGCTTGGTTCACGCTTCATTCTGCACGACGAGATTTGTCCCACAACCAGAACGTTCGCGCCAAAGGATCGGCGTACGCCATGCTCGAAGCAGCCATGGAGCTCAGCAAGGCGTACGATTTATTGTTAAAACTCGGCGCTAAAGATGCGTACGAATACTGCGAGAGACGCGGCGCAGAAAAGCAGTCGACGCTGATTCATCGCACCGATCAGGTATCCAGGGAAGTCGTTGATTTGCTTCGTTCAATGTCGTGCAATGGCGCGCATCATTCACCAAAACTCGACAGGCTAACGTCCATTCTGAAGCATCATTTCAAGGAATCTACGGCAGATACCCGCGTTATTATCTTCACCTCGTACAGAACGAGTGTTAAAGACATCGTGCGCGCTCTTCGCGACGTTCCAGCCGGAGCAGACACCGCTTGTAAGATCAAAGTTGCGGAGTTTGTTGGCCAAGGCGATACAGCAGCTGGGAAGAAGCGTGGAGGCGTCGGTGGGGCCGGAGGCGACGATCGAGGTACAAAGGGGCAGACACAAAAAGAACAAAAGCAAACACTCGTGGACTTTAGAGCGGGGACGCTAAATACACTCGTGGCGACGTCCATCGGAGAAGAGGGGTTGGACATTCCGAGTGTCGATTTGATAGTCTTTTTTGACGTCGTCGATATCATCAGGGCCATTCAACGCATGGGTCGCACCGGTCGTGCGCGGGACGGTAAAGTCGTCATTCTTGCCACAGAAGGCAAAGAGTTCTCAAAGTATACCAGTGAGCAGAAGAAGTATGAGACATTGATGTACTGCCTTCGAGTTCCTGGGAACCACTTCCAACTCGACAAGAACTGCCCACGAATCATTCCGGAAGGTGTGACGCCAGTGTGTCAACTCATGATGATCGATCCATCGCCCGCTGAAAAGCGAACAAAATCGAAAATTAAGCGAGATGAGAAAACGAAGAAACCACGTGGGATCAAGGCAATCTTGAACGCCGCGAAAAAGTTAAAGGATGCTCCTCTTGATCCAGCGAGTAGAGCTATACTGTACGCTTACGAGTACGAAGGCAATGCACTGAGTGAGTTGGACCTCACGTCGGCAACCATTTTCCTGTCGCGACCTGATCCTGTCTACGGTGTCGAACACAGTCAGCTATCACGAGCGTTTATAGGAGTGATGGCTGACTTGCAAGGGATGGTACGCGTTGATCCAGCCGGCGTGGCGCTCCCCGGCGGTCCGTGCGCGAGTCGACGAGCTCAAGGCCTGGTGCAAACTGCCGGACCAGAGCCAGCGGCAGATCATCAACGCCCGACACAAATTCCAGATGATGGTGATGCGCCTGGCGCGGCTGACGCAGTTTTCGGCGATGAAGATTTCGCCGACGACTGGCAGAACGATTGGCATAACTTTCCAGAAACATCGCAGGATGGTCCAATGTACGATGCTGTCATCAAAACGAGTCAAGAAGTTCGGGAGGAATTGACGCAGATGAGCGATCCCGTGCCGCGGCGTATTTCCATGCATAGTGTCACGCCCAAGAAACGCTCGCTTTTCAAAGAAGCTCGTTATTCTCCCGGCGTTCTCACTACTGATGAAGAAACGCTGGCTGAGAGGCTCGAAAAGCGGCGTGCGAACGACGTTACATTTGCAAACAAAAGCACGCCGAGCGATGTAGAAGTACGAGACGAGGAAGATCGCACAATACGCGATCGGGTTTCGATGCCTCCCCCTCCACCTCGAATGACACCCCAAAGCGATGGCAAAGCGTCCGCAACGACACCGTCGACCGATGGTGAGTTGAACTTCAAGCGGCACGTCAGTAAAGTCGGTCGACGAGTACTGATGTCGCAGGAAATTTCGCCGATTGTGGGTGACGGTTGTAGGTCTTCGAACGGCACCTTTTGCGATGTGGACGATAATGAAATTCAAATAGTGGATGACGAGGAAGACAATGGTGGCGATGATCCGATTCAAACGCGTCGGCCTCAGCGCGCACGGGCGCTACCTATTTTCAATCTACAAAAGAGGAGGAATAGAAGGAATAACTTTATAGATGACGAGGCGGAAGCGAGTGATGAAGACGACGACGGGGAAGGAGAGCTTAGCTCCGGTGATGAAGCTTTCATCGCAAATACTCAGATGGATGACGCTGCGAATCATCCGGGCGCACATTTTGACGATGCAACACCGGAAGACGCACCGAGAGATGACCATGCGCGCCGCGATGTGATGTCGCGGATGCAACTGGAGCACACGTTTGCTATGTTTGGTCCGAGAGAACGACGGGCGGTGCAAGACACGCCAAGTCCGACGCAGCAGCGGAGTGAAGGCAACCGTTCGATGAGCAAGTACGATTCGAGCTTCATCGACGATGGTTCGGATGATAGCCCAGAGGCAGAGGATTCCGTGAAACGACCAGTACGGTATCCCATGAGGGATGTTGATGAAGACATCGTCGACGAGCCAGCTGTTCAAACCACCGATGAAATGTGGGATACTTTTGACGAGCATATCGAGGAATGGGGTGACGACGGATGGGGCGGAGCGAGTCAACACGCGAGTGGGGCGGATGGCGGTCGGGATCACGCCGTTGCCGGCGACGATGACGACGACTGGTAGGTAACAAATGAGCGAGCGTATCGTAATATCACATTGAAATATTCATCGCGCGCGATCACGCCTGCGAGGGCGAGGGCGGTTCGCGTTTAGGCCGTGGATGGGCCCGTCTCGTTGGCTTGGCTTCCGGTGCCGGTAGAAGCAGCTGCGGTCGTCTCAATTTTTCCAGTAAATTTTCGATGCTACGAAGCGTTCGATTAGTTCCATTTTCCGAGTAAAACACGGAGATACCTTTCCAGGTATTTGACGGAATATCATCAGCGCACTGAAAATCTTCGGAAAAGAGCTGCTTGGACGTTTCGGAGCTAGCGTGAAGCATCTCCGTGTAAAACTCAAAGCACTCGGGACACACACATCGCCGTTTGCACAACGCTCGCACGTACATTTTTAAGCACGCATCGCAGTCGCACGTTTGTTTGCAAAAGTTGTAACCGATGAGACCGTCAATGTCGCTTTCGAAACTTGCGCATTCCGAACACGCGCATCTTTGGAACAGCGGCGATTTCGCTTGTCCGCTCTCTGTGATGCTCGGTATGAGGGCGTCATGATTCTCGAGCGCGTTGTCGTGATCGACGCGACATCGCTGCAAAAGCCGAATACATTCTCGTACGCCCTTGATGGCCTCAACACTTCGCTTCTCCAGCTCCTCGTGGTGCGAGGAAAGAAACATCGCGAGCTCCCAGTGGGACTGCTCGACTCGATCGATGCGTCTTCGCATGAATCTCTTACCCTTGTTTCTCCGCATGACCTTTCGGTCCGGTGATGAGCCTTGTGATTGAAACCACTTAGAAGGTGGGAGAGGAGGTGCTACTGGCTCGACCAAGGCGGACACGTTGTCGGGTGGCAGAGTGCGCCGAATGGGCAGCGCCGGAAACTCTTCCTCGTTCGCCGAATCGGGAGTCGCGATCACGGCTGTGGGAAACGCTGGTGGTGACGGTGGCGCGGTATTTGGAGACGAGTGCGTCGTACCCGGTGATGACGACGGTCCGTGAGTTTTCGGCTTTTGTTTCTCCTTCTTTGACTTTCTCTTCTGCCGCGTCTTCGGGATCGGCGGCGGCGTTGGCGCCGACGTCCAAGTCGATCGCCCCGTCTCCGCGAAAACGACGTTCGCCGCGGCTTGCGCCGCGGATTGCGCCTGCGTAACAAACATTTGCGCCTGCGCTTCATCCCTCGCTCGTCTTTGTCGTTGCTCCATCACGAGCGCTTTCGCGCGCGCGAGCGCCGATCGCTCCTCCTCCACTAAAATCTGCGCGACGGCAACCATCGAATCAACGCACGTCGCGGGCGACATGACGACCACGAACCCCAACCCCTCCACCAACATAAATCTCTGCGCGTTCTCCGGCGCGACGCGCGACGCTATCGGCACCGACGTCATCGCGCCAGCCGCGTCCCGAATCGGCGCGCGCGCGCGCCACCCGTCGCCGTCCTCCCCTCCGTCTCTCCCCACCCTCGACGACGCCTTCCGACCGACGCGCTCGCGTCACACGACGACCTCGCTCCCGCTCCCGCTCCCGCGCGCCCACGCGCGGTCGTCGTCGTCGTCGACGCGTCGCGTCGTCGCGACACCGCCCGGGTGCCTGGAATCCAAATCCACCACCACCCCGATCGCGATCGCCCTCGCACCGCGCGCGCGTCCGCGACCGCGCGGACGCGTCGACGATAAATCCACCGTCGTCGCCCGCGGCGCGTCGCTCGATCCCGCCCGTCGCGCGCGCGACGACGACCGCGATGCGCGTCGGCGAGCGATGCGCGTCGACACGGATCGACACACAGTCCAATCGGTACCTTCAATACGTACGACGCATACATACGTACCGATTGGACGATCTGTGCGCCCCACCGCCCTAGGTTGGGTAAAATCTGAATCACCTTCTACATCACCACCCGAAACACGGTGATTTGAATCACCTTCACCACCCATGGAAGGTGATTTAACCTTTCGAGCTCGCACGAACCGTTTCGACGTGGGGTGCTAGGGTTCGAACAGTGACGCAATGTACTTATCATCACTGTATTTCCTCGACACCGGTGACGAAATGTCGTATTATCAGTCACATGATGTCTATCACTGTAAATATCAGAAAAATGATAGGCTTTACATACACGCACTATGAAATCACCTTCTAAATCACCACAAGGTGATTTGAAATCACCATCACCACCCATAGAAGGTGATTTACCCAACCTAGCCACCGCCGATGCGCTCGCGAAACCCCCGCGGCGTCGTCGTCGACACACGACGACGACCATGCTCCGCGCGCTGGCGAGACGAGAGGTGCGTCGACGCGCATCGTGCGCGCGCGCGTCGCGACCGCGCGCGCGGGCGCGCGGGCGACCGCGCGCGAGCGACGCGAGGGGAAGAAAACCCGAGGGGACGCGAGGCGATCGCGGCGACGAATGCGCGCGGTCGAGCGGACGATCACGCGGACGATGGCGCGATCGAGGACGAAGGACTGACGAGGTGGTGATGGTGTTTGCGCGTCGACGCAGTTGCGCGCGTGCGCGCGCAGAGCGTACTCGCAGGATGTCGCGAAGGTTGGCGCGAGCTGGGACGCGATCAAGACGGACGCCCTGTCGGACGCCTCCAAGCGCGAGCTCATGGCGCTGCAGAAGGCGGTCGCGGACATGCGCGATGCGGTGAATCGCGTGGCGTACAAGGGACCGGAACCGGACTTTGCGGCGATGAAAAAGGACACGAAGATGCCGGAGATCGTGGACGTGTTTGAGAAGGCGTACAAGAGCGTGACGAAGCCGTCGGTGGCGAGTCCAGAGATCGAGGAGCTCAAGACGTCGTTCGCGGGGATCGAGGCCGAGGCGAGGGCGGATGCGGAAGTCGCGAAGAAGCGCATCGCCGAGCTCGACGTCGAGCTCAAGGCGATCGCGGATCAACGCTCCAAGCTCGCCACGATGACGATGGACGAGTACTTTGAAGCCAACCCGGAGATGAAGAAGGATATCGACCAGAGGATTGCCAACGATGAGTGGTTCCAAGTCAAGTAATCGAGCGCATACCGTCGTCTCCGTCGACTCTCGAGAGGAGCCCCTCGCGAGAACTGTAATTAGCCAGGCGTCAGTTGTGATGTAGCATACTTAACTTTTCCGAGTCAGACGACGCTATTAAGCGACGGGACCGAATGTCGCGCTCGAGCTTTCGACAGAGGCGTGTAGATCATCGGGATAACGGCGTCGCCGCCACGGAGGGCGATTCCGACGTTCTGGAGGCACGGTTGCGCCAAGGCGCTGCGGAGACGTCTCTACGTGAGTTGACCGGACGTGATAAGAAGCGCCGTCCACCCGGTCCCGTGCGATTCGCGACGACGACGCCGAACACGATCACGCACAGCATTATGCTCGCTCGGGGCTGGTGTGAGGTTGCGGTAACGGATCCGTCTTGGGACTTTTTCTACGCGGACGTGGGATGGATACACGACAACCTGCCGTACAAGAGCGCCGCGCACATGGAGGAATACCAGCGGGTGAATCACTTCCCGAATCACGGCGAACTGACGCGCAAGGATCTGATGGCGAAAAATTTGAATAGAGCGAGGCGTCAGGCGGCGAAGAATGAGGGCGCGGAGAAGGCTTCACGCTTCGATATCCTCCCGCTCACATACGTGATGCCGCAGGAGGCAATGATGATGCGCCGAGCCTTTCGCGAGCGCGGAGGGCTATGGATCATGAAACCGATCGGGAGAGCGCAGGGTAAGGGCATATTCATCGTTCATAAGGCTTCACAGATCGCCAAGTGGGTTGTAGAGCGCGAGAAAAACGGTGCCGAGAACGTGTGCATCGATAACTATGTCGCGCAACAATACATATCCAATCCGTACTGCGTCGGCGGGAGAAAATTTGATTTGCGCTTGTATGTGCTGGTCATGTCTTTTCGTCCAACGCGAGCGTACCTGTACCGCGATGGATTCGCGCGCTTCACTGCCACTCGTTACACATGTGACAAGGAGTCGTTCGATGACGAAATGGTACACCTCACGAATCACTCGGTACAAAAGCGCGATCCAAACTACGACGCGTCCAAGTGCGATTTACGATGGAGCGCGCGGAGTATGCGTCAGTACATCGCGGCGAAACACGGCACCGCAATCGCAGACGCGCTCGTGTATAACATCGCAAATGTCGTGGTACATTCCCTTCAGTCAGTGGCGCCGGTGATGATAAATGATCGCCACTGTTTTGAGATGTACGGGTACGATGTCATGCTCGATGAAAATTTACGCCCGTGGCTCATTGAGGTCAATGCGTCGCCATCGATGAGCGTAGACAGTGCGGGCGACCGCGCGCTAAAAACAGCACTATTTCAGGATGTGCTGAACATCGTCGACATGGAGACTGGCACACCGTCGCGGCGAGGTCGACCAGAGGAGGCTCCGCCGAGGCACGTGGGAGGCTTTGATTTGATACTCGACGGCGACGACGTGGTGGAGGAAAACATGCTCCTACTCGGGGCGTTACAAGACGATCGATCGATAGCACCACCTAAGCGAACTCATCCTCCTCGGGTTCATCCTTAAGAATTGGATTACCCTCGGCGTCGAGCGGCCATGGGTTGCCGTCCACGTCCACCGGAACGTCGAGCTTCATCAGAGTCGGCGTACTCCACGGATACTTCTTCACCATCCCGTACTCGACCGGTCGACCAAAATTTTTCTGTAATGCGCGTTAAAGGGTCGACGTCGTTAGATTCGCGGAGCACGCGCGTCACGTTCGCGTCGTCGACGCACCTTGTAATTTTCCTGAAAGATGCGTTGCGCCTCTTTAAACTCCGGAGTCGTGAATGAAAGCCTCGGATCCTCGAACTCTCGCATTTTCTCAAGCTTCTCGGTGTGCGCCTTCATCTCTTCCAGCAAACTCATCTGCTCCTTATCGTTCGGATCGGCGCGCTTCTCGAAGTCCTCCAATCGCCGTCGATCCTCCTGAGTTTGAACGTGACGAGGCGCGCTTTCTCTCGTCAGTCGTCTCGTCGCGCCCATCATCACGCGCGCGCGCAGTCGCGCGCCGTCGCGTCGACGACGCCATCGCCCACCTCAGCCGCCTGCGGCCCGCCCGTCCACTTGGACGACATCTCGCGCGCGTCGACCGATCCGCGTCGCGCAGTGCCGAGAAAAAACGCCTCTCGCAAAAAGTAACGCCTTTTTGGCGCGCGGCGTGAAAAACCAACCGCCCGGCGGCGCGTTGCGGTCGACACTTTACGTCGCTTAGATCGCGCTCGCGACGCGCGCGCGGTGCGAATGGTCTCCGCCGGGGCGCAAATATTCTTCGCCGCCGTGCGAGCGGTCGCCGAGGTGTTCGTCGTCGGCGCGATCGGCGTGCACACCGCTCGAAGAGGATTGATGGATAAAAGGTTGCAGAGAGCGCTGGCGAGGTTTAACGGTAGTTTCTTCCTCCCGGCGCTGCTCTGGACGAGCCTGTCGCGGTCGGTGACGATTGAGCGCTTACGAGAGATGTGGTTGCTGCCGTTGGCGTCGATGGTGCACGTGATAATCGGGTTGGGGTTGGGATTGTTGGTGGTGAGAGGGTGCGGCGTCAAGGCGGGCTTCAGAACGGTGGCGACGATGAGCGCGGCGTTCGGTAATTCGTTAGCGCTTCCGGTGGTGGTGACGCGGGCGATCACGAAGAATCCTAGAATTGGAAATTTGACGTTCACGGCGGAGGACGGTGATCGGTGCGTGCTGTATTTGAGCGCGTACGTGGTGATGCTGAGCGCGTCGATGTGGTCACTCGGGCCGTGGCTATTTCGACGACGAATCGCAGCGAAAGTGAGTCGAGACGGGTACCAGAGCGAGAGTGAGGGTGGACCCGAAGCGTCGGTTGCGGAGCGCGGCGGAGATCTGGAGTCTATCGCGCGAACGCGAAGTTTCGCACAACGCACGCTGGATTTCGCTAAAGTCTTCTTCAATCCCAACGTGGCGTCGTGCGTCGTCGGAGTGTTGACCGGAATCTGTACCCCCGTGCGGGATATTTTGTTCAAGCCTGGACGGGCGCTGAGCTGGATCGGCGGCGCGGCGCAACTCCTCGCTGACGCGGCGATACCGACCGTTTTGCTCGTCATCGGTGCGTCCCTGGCTCGAGGTCCGGATTACTCCTTGGCGGACAGGAAGACCGCTCTTGCCGTCGTCGGCGTGCGCTTCGTCATCATCCCTCTGCTGAGCATCGGCGTATACTTTGCGCTGAAAGACGCGAACGGGATCTCACCTTCGACATCCGACGGATCGACCGATAAGATTTTCTGGTTGTGTTTCCTAGCCGTGAGCACGACGCCGACCGCAAATAACCTCATGCTTCAAGCGCAAATGTATCATCCCGACGACGACGCAGCCGCCGGTGTGGGTACGCTGTTGTTTTGGCAGTACTTGGTGTGTCCGGTCATCCTCACGGCGTATTACTCGTGGTACCTCACCCTCATCGACAGATAGTTCACATGTATTGTATTATTAAACTCGCGACTTTAGATCAAGCATTCGCGATTCGCAGGCCGTTTTGAATGCTCTTGGAGTACTCTCCGACGGCTTGAACGATGAGCTCGTCCTCTTCCATGCGCTCGGCGCGCTCTTGCTTGAGCTGCGTCTTCAGAGCACTCAACTCCTCCAGGACCACGGCGTGGAAGTCGCCCTCACCGACGGACGATAGGTGCCGCACGTCCTCCACCGACGCCGCCAGTTTCCCAATCGCGCTCTCTCTCGTGTTCTTCTCTGCCTCGACGCGCATCCTAACCTCATTCATTTCGCTTCCAACGCGCGCGATGAGCTCAGCCTCGCGCTCGAGTCTCGCCAACCGCTCCTCGTCCAGAGCGCTCCCCAAATCCTCCGCCCGCCTCCCCAAGTTCGTTCCCTGCACCTCCATGTCGTCCTTTCGATTCGCAACCTCCGCCGTCAACGCCTCATGCACGCTCTCTATCGCTTTCGTCAACGCGCTCACGCTCTGCGACAATCGCTCCTCCGTCGCCGCCGCGCGTTGCGTCAACCGCGCTTCCAAATCTTTCACCCGTTCCTCGATTTTACTCGTCGCCTCTCTCGCCGCGCCTCTCTGGCGCTCCGCGTGCGACTTAAACTCGCGCTCGAGGACGTCGAGACGTTCCTCGATGCCGTGCATGCGATCGTGCTCCACGGCGCGGCGGTGCGTCTTCTCTGCCTCGAGGTCTCGATAGAAATTTGAGAATCTCTCATTAAGCTTGGCGAGCTTCGTCGACGCGCTCGATTGCGTCTTCGTCGACATGATCGCGTCCCACGCACGCGCGCGCGTCTACACCACGAATGTCGCGACGAACGGTCGCGCGCGCGCGCCGCACGGTGCGTCGGGGTGTGAAGATTGCGAACACGCACATCGACGACGTCGCTGCGTCTGCACTTCGCGACGCCCTCGCGCGCGCGATGCGCCGCGTCTTCGCCCTCGCGACGTCGAGGGAGGTGCGCGGGGTCACCGCGGACTCGCTGCGGTGCGCGTCGAGGGCGGAGACGTCGAAGGGGACGGAGATTCGAACGCGAGCGGTGACGTCGAGCGCGCGGGCGTCGATTGGAAGACGCGGTGGCGCGGACGCGAACGCGCGCGAGGCGAACGCGACGGGCGCAAAGTACCTCGGGGCGATGGTCGTCGCGGTCGTGGGCGCGACGTACGCGAGCGTGCCGCTGTATAGGATGTTTTGTCAAGCCACCGGGTTCGGCGGGACGACGCGGCGGGCGACGCTGGAGGAAAAGTTAGAGAGCGAAGCGTGGAGTAAGGAGGCGCGGGATGAGGCGAGTAAGCGGGAGATTAAGATTTATTTTAATGCCGACGTGGCGGAGGGGATGCCGTGGCGATTTCGACCGACGCAGAAGAGCGTGACGGTGCGTCCGGGCGAGAGCGCGCTCGCGTTTTACACGGCGAAGAATAACAGCTCGACGCCGGTGACCGGCGTGGCGACGTACAACGTACAGCCGAACAAGGTGGGACAATACTTTAACAAGGTGCAGTGTTTTTGTTTCGAGGAGCAGCGCCTGAGGGGGAAGGAGGAGGTGGACATGCCGGTGTTGTTTTACGTCGACCCGGAGTTCGCCAGAGACCCGGCGATGCGAGACGTGCGGTCCCTCGTGCTCTCCTACACCTTCTTCAAGAGTGACGATTTCGACGAAGACGAGGACGAGGGTGACGTTCGAGCGAGCGGCGTTCGCGTGCACGCCCCGTCCGCGCCGATCACCACCGCGTCCGCACAGAGCCGTAGACGAGACGATTCGCGTTGAGTAGCATTGTACATTTCAAATCCGCGCCGGCTGTCGCGCCGCCCGCCTCGCCGCACTCCCCGACGCCTCACCCCGCCTCCCACCATAGCGTTCACCGGCGTCGCGCGAAACGTCTCCATCGTCGCCTCCGCCTCGAGCGCGTCGAGATGTCTCGCGTCACCGGCGCCCTGGACGCCCTGGATGAGCTCAGGGCGAAACTCACGTGTCCACTCTGTGAACGATTATTCACCTCCCCGGCGACGCTCCCGTGCGCGCACACGCAGTGCCACGCGTGCGCGACCGAGCACGTGGATGCCAGAGGGAAGGGATTCGTTCAGAGCGGATGCGCGGAGTGCGGGGCCCCGACGGAGCTGCGGGAGGTGCAGGTGAATCAGACGCTCAGGGAGTTTGTGGAGGCGTTTCGGGCGACAGAGGGAGATTTGAGGGAGATTTTAGCGAACATGCGAGCGATCGGACGGGAAAGCGGGTCGGGTGCGACCGCGGAGGCGGTGGAGACGGAGACGGATGAACGAGAGCGAGGGATGGAGGCGGAGGATCCGGACGCGGAGAGACGGTTGGCGTTGGCGACGTGCGAAGAGGCGGCGGAGGAGATACGGGTGATCGATGCGGAGCTAAGAGCGATAGAGGAGCGGATGCGAGCGTTGACGAGTGAAAGTGGTGATGTGACGATGGTGAACGCGGAGATGGAGATGGAGATGGAGGAGGAGGAGGAAGACGCGACGCAGGCGCCAAAGTTTGCGTCGATGAATCTGACGCAGTTGCGAAAAGTGTACCGCGATTTGTACGGTGCACCGGCGCCTCAGGGACGGAAGAAAGGGTGGTTCACGAAGCATTTTACCTCGCTCGATCCCGAGGTCGTGGCATCGGCGCTGGTGTCGACGCAACCCGACGCGCCCGCCGCGGCGAAAATAGTCGTCGCGTACAGCTCGAGTGCGAGACGACAGAGTGGGAATCTGGAAGAAATGTTCGCGCAGGCGGAGCGTAAAATTAAGTCTATCGATCCCAAGGCGGTGTTCTTGGGTGTTAAGGATCTTACTTCGGAGTGCACGCACTTGATCATGGATACGGGGTCGTCCTCGCGAGACGTGAAGAACAGAACGGCCAAGTACATCGAGGCTATTGTGCGTGGTCTGTACATTGTCCACATAGATTGGTTAGACGATTGCGCAGAGCGCGGAGAGTTTGGTAACGAGGAGGCATTCGAGCTGAAGGATGCCACGATCTCGGACGCCGCCGCGAAAGATGCCCAGGATGGCCCGCGACGAGCTCGCATCGATAGAGCGACGAATTCACGCGGGCTTTTTCATGGTATAACGCTTCGCGTGAAGGGCTGCGGGCGTTCACTTTCGGTTTCGGCTTTAGAGAGAATATTGAAGCTCGCTGGCGCCACGATCGTGCCCGATTCGCCGAATACGCCTCGCCGATCTTTGCGAACACGCAAGTCAATGCCAAACGCAGACCAGGTACCAGATAGCGAGGACGAGACCCCGGAGAGCGAGACCCCGGATGCGGCGAGTGGACGTGACGGCGGATACGACGAGGAAACCGACGAAGAGTCGCACTGTTTGACGTTAGTTGACGATACGACGGAAGAGAAGTCCGCGAATGCGGTTCTCTGGACGTGGGCGCTCGAGTGCGTGTGTTGTTACGAGCTATTGCCCACCGTGCGGTGGCGCGTCGGTGGCGACGCTGCCGCGTGAACACGCGCGCGTGAATGTGAATGTATCTTTGTAAATTTATCTGAATTGATTACATCGGCAGTACAGTGCAGCGAAATCGATTTTCTTGTCAGCTCTGGCGTTCAATAAATATTGAACGCCTGTGAACGTCAACTGGAGAGCGACGGCTCTCACATCGGGTACGTACAGATCCCAACCTGCGCCACCGGTTGGCACGCGGATCCTTTCGGACATCCCCCGGTCGGCCCGGCTCGCGGATCGCACACCAAAGCGCATCGATCCGGTCCATCGCTGCCCGGCGTCTGCAACACGCACGCCGGTTTCGCGAGAGCCCCCTTGTACGGGTCCGCTGGACACGGGCTCGCCTTCGAACACGACGGACTGCAGAAGTCGCCATTGATGCCCTGGATCTGCACCTTCTGCTCGCGCGGGAGGCACGGCCCTTTCGACGGATCGCCGTACGGCTTTGCTCCGTGCGGCTTCGGATGCGGATGCGGGTGCGGGTGTGGATGCGGCCCCGGCGCCATGATTCCCGCGATGTGCTCCGCGAAAGCGTTCACGGACGACATAACGGCCGTCACTCGACCGATCGGCGTCGCCATCGTCGACTCGATCGTCGACAGCGTCGCCGCATCGATCGTCAACGCGACCGGCAATTCTCTCGACGCATCCGACGCACGCGCCGTCTCGCGTCGCGCATCGGCCCGCGCGACGGGTGCGCCCGCCGCGCACAGGACGAGCGCGATGAGAGCGATCACTCGAGCGCCGCGCGTGGACATCGCGCGTCTTTCGAGCGACGTGCGATGCCGATCGGATTCGGATTCGCTCCGTCACCGTCGCCCGGAAAGTGTCCACGTGGCATTCGATGCGACGTGGTGAAGACGAAACGTCGCGCGCGCGAAACGTCGCACCGCGTTCGACGACGCGCGACGGGATGGCGATCGGAGCGTTTCTCGAGCGAAACCCGCGATTGGGACGGGTGGAAAAGGCGCGCGACGACGCGATCGGATGGCGCCTGTGGGTGAGCGTCGGCGTGTTTTGTTTCTTGTTGCTCGGGCCCGTGATGCCGCTCATCCCGAGGTTTCGAGGGGCGGGGCCGGCGTTCCTGGCGATCGAGGCGGTGGCGGTGACGGCGATCGCGTGGTGCTCGATCGAGTACAGACATCGACGGGCGGTGTGGTTTCAGTGCTTGTCGAAAGGGATCGTGGTGACGTACGAGAAGACGCACGAGATCGGGCGGTGGATCACGCAGCCGGCGATGTTCTTCGCGTACGCGTTTCTGTTCGTACACGCCTTGGTGACGTACTTGGGATTGGATCCGACGCTCGGTGGTGGTGATTTGGTGGCCGATGTGCTCACCGCTATATTGTCCATGCTCGCCGTGCTCTTCGTGGTGTTGATGACGAAGAATCTGGTCGATACGGAGGGCGCCAACGCGCTCTTGACCGTTCCGATGTTTGTCTACCTCTTCCAGGACGACGCCGTGCTCGCCGAGCGCGGTTTTTCGACGGTAAATTTCGCTGATTTGGCACAGTACGTGATTGTCGATCGAGCGTCGAACCGTAAATTCTCGTGGAACGAAATTCACGAACTGCAAGCGCCAGTCGGACACTTTACCCCCGTATCGAATAGGCGCGCGACGCTGCTCGATGGATTTAGAATCGCGAGATTCCTGAGAAAATACAACGACGTGATGTCCTAGGCTGCCAAAAGGCTAAGAAATGAATGTGAATTCACGCGAGTTCGCCGCACGCGGTGATGCATACCTGACCGAGCGGCTGGCCGCTCTCCGTGCCGACTGCCTCGCACGCTGCGACGACATCCATGCCCTCAAGCACTCGCCCGAACACGACGTGCTTATCGTCCAAACTCGGCGCCGGCGCCGTTGTGATGAAGAACTGCGAGGTATTGGTGTTTGGACCTCGATTCGCCATGGACAACACACCCGCCTCGGCGTGAGAGATCCCGAACGCCTCGTCCTCAAATTCCTCGCCGTAAACACTCTCCCCGCCGCAACCATTCTGAAGAGTGAAATCCCCGCCCTGGCACACAAAACCCTTCACGATTCGATGAAAGCACGACCCCTCGTACGTCAACCGTCTTCCGCTCGTTCCGCTCGTCCCTCGCTCGCCTGTACACAGCGCTCTGAAATTTTCACACGTCCGCGGCGCGTGCAAACCAAACAACCCGAAAACGATCCGCCCCTTCGCTTTCCCGTTTACGCTCACGTCGAAGTAGCACTTCGTCGTCACCGTCTCGTCTCCCGGCGGTGGAAGATCGCTCTCGAGTACTTTATCCCACGCGTCGTATCGGTTCGCCTTTTCCAGCGTTAACACGGCGCGCAACCCGTCGAGCTCGCGTTCCCAGAAGCACCCGTCCACGTCCACCGCGTGCGGCAGCGCGCCATCGACAAGCACGCGACCGTCGTCCTTATCGCGCACACGCACGCGATCGATGAAGAAGGTGACGTCAAGCGAGGCGCGCGGGATGGCGCGCGGGAGGTCAACTGAGAGCTGGACCTCTGATTTGCCTTCCGGCGCGTTCACGCTGACTTTGACGTCGCACGGGTGGGATAACAGAGCGACTGGGGTACAGGTATGTCGTCTCGACCGGTGACAGGGAGAAGTATGAAGGAGCACGCGCGCAGGAACGGATGCGCGCGAGGACATTTCACCAGGAGGCGGAAAGTGCGGACGACGGAAGAACGAACGATGATTGTGTTACACCACGATGGCTGCGTACCCGGCTGCTTCTTCTGGCTTCAATTTTTGTGCGCGTATGTGGGCGAGGGTGTTGGCGTAGGATTGTTCGACGTCTCGGAGAGCGACGACAGCGTCGCCGGTGACGCCGGAGACGCTCGCGAGCTCACCGTTGATCATTTCTATGAGCGCCTGAAGCGCCTCGACGGTGACGGCGGTGCAACCCTCGGAAGATTTATCGTAAAAGTACAGGTATTTGTTGAGGATGCCGACGTAAAGCCCGAGAGCTTCAATGCGGTTGGTCTCGTTGCCGCCAAACGTGTCTCGCACCGCGTTTGCTATTTTAACCGACTTCTTCAGGCACGCGCCGACGGAATCGCTGTCTTTCACCGTCTCCGTCCAGAAGAGGTGCGCGCACGTGTACGCGCCGACGCACTGGTCAGGCTTCTTCAATAACCTAGCGCTGTACCCTGTTGTCTTGTGAACCAAGGACGCTCGACTCTCTTCACTGAACACATTCACCTTGTGCAGCGTGCCAATGATGACGAAGAGCAAGTTCACCTGCTTTTTTGTATCCGTGATGTTCTCTTCGTACAGCTCGAACGCGCGCTCGAAGAATTCGTACGCAATGGACTCCAAGTTTGCAACCGCGGCGAGTTGCGCAGCCTCAAGAAACAGCTTCAACGCCTTTTCATGTCTCCCAGCAACTTGCGTCAGCGCGGTGATAGTTTTGTGCACCAAGTGCAGTGATTTTTTCAGCCACGGCGACTTGACTTCCATCGGCATGGTGAACGAAATGGACACATCTTCCGTCTTATCTTTGTTCGCGTCGCACGATTCCTCGATGGCATCGTCATCCGCTTTCTTGGACTTCTCGGCGGCTGACTTCTCGGCACGCTCTGCGAGGACAATGTCTCTCCCACACGCAATCCCTGCGAACACGAGCGCCGGGAACGTATATCGTATGCGCTGAGGCCCACCCTTAAGTAAGATATCGTGCGTCATGTTCAACATCTCAAGTTGGAGCTCGCTGTTGTCCTCAGGAGCTTTAATCAAGTGCACGACACGAGCGACCACGTTTTGCTCATCGGCGAGCACCGAACTCTCGCTCTCCTGATACTCGTTCGCGTTCGCAGAGACAACACAATCTATGAAATTATACAGCATTTTCACCTCATCAACCGACTGCAGCGAGCTTCGGTTCTTCACCAGCGTTTGCACGACACCGAGCGCGACTTCCTTCTTTGTCTTCGCGTCCAAAAGCGAGATCACTTTTGGGTACGACTGCAATGAGAGCACAACCGAGAGATTGCACGTCTCCAGCGGCTCGCTCAATAGCGCTGCGAGCTGTTTCACGGCCTCCGGATCATCTATAGGCGTCTTACTCTCTAAAGACTCCGCCAGAGAGAGCAAAATATCATCCAGCGTACCGCCCTCCGTGATCTTCAACTGTCTCACAAACGCCATCAACGCCGCGAACATCCCCACGACCTCCTTCGCCGGAATGTCGTCATGCGCATTTATGATGGATTTGCAGCATTCGAACGATTTGGTGAGCACGTCCGCGGCCTGGAACTCCGTCTTGGCCTCGGGAGTCTCTTCGGCGTAACTCAGCAAACGCCCGAGCAGCGCCTTTAGAATTAACCCCACTCGAACGTTTGGACGCAACATGGTCATCGTCGAGAAAACCTCTGGGAGCGTCGCCAAGTGATACTCGTCTGAAAATACTTGAATCAGCACATCCAGCAGATATGGCTGCGCTATCTCGTCCTTGCAGTTGACGACTTGCTCCAAGATGCGTGGCAGCACCATTTCGCGATACATCTTTAAATCTACCCCCTCTAGTTGTGACAGCGCTAGCAAATTCTTCCCCACTAAATCTCTGAGCTCTTGTCGCTCGTCTTCCCTTCGCTTTTTTCCGCTCGAGGGTCCGATGTGCTGCATGCGGACCCACAGCTTGTTCATCTCTGTAAAGTTTTGCAACAAGAACTCCACCGCGTCGTCGATGTTCCCGCCTTCGCCTTCGTACTTCGATCCTTTATCCGGCAGCAACGCCTTACTCACCTGACTCAGATATGCTCGCAGAAAAAGTCCATGCATGGGCTGCTGCACCCCTCGCGTCATCTCCACCAAATCCATCAACACGTCCCTCGCGCCTCCCTCTCCGGATTCCACGTACGTCACGCCGACGGTGATCAAAAGATACAGCCTCGGCAAAACATTCCCCGCGTGCTGCACGATCTCATACAACTCCATGCACGTCCGCCCGTGGCGCTCTCGCTCGCCGAAGAACATCCGCAGATGCATCAACTCCTCCGTCGCCGCGACGTGAAGCTCGTAATACGCCCGCGGCGCGAGCGCCACCGTGCGCAACTCTCCGAGCATCAAGCTCGCGCTCTTCAGCGCCTCTCGCAGGTTTCCCTCGTTCTACGCGTCGTGAACGTCTCGTCAGTCGTCGTTCTCGCGCCGTAACGCGATGCACGCGTGAGATCTCTCATAACTGAAACAATTCACCGAAATCTCTAATCATCCCCTTCTCACATCGCGCCCACGCGTCGCTCCACCGTCAACGCACCGCCGCCCGTCGCATCTTCCCCGCGTGTTCGCGCACCAGCGCCCTGGCCTCGTCGAGCCACGTCGCGGCGTCGCTCGCGGGCTCCATCGCGCGTCGTCGCGTTCTGACGATTTTCAACCGTTCATGACTCAACTTGAGCCACTGACCACCGCGCGTTCGCACGTCGCGACGCCCCGCGCGCGCGCGCTCGACGACGACGAACATGCTCGCGACGTCCACCGCGCGCGCGTCCGCGGTCTCCGTCGCCCGACGCGACGGCGCCCGCGCGGGGCGATCGACGGCGACGGCGACGGCGACGCGCTCGTTATCCGCTCGCGGTGGACGAAGGACGACGACGACGAACGACGTCGCGCGCGAGCGTCGCCCGAGGTCGCTCGTGGTGAAGAACGCGAGTGCGCCCTCGCGTGGGTCCAGGACGACCGCGCGAGCGACGAGCGGGACGGTGGCGACGCCGGAGGGCGACGAAGGGACGGGCGGAAACGCGGGTCTGGTCGCGCGCGTCCGAGCGATCGCCTTCTTCGTCACCTCGTTCACGCTCGCGGTGCCGCTCATCATGATCATGGCGATCATATTCCCGTTTCAGTACGCGTTCGATCGAACGCGAAGGCGGGCGCTGAGTTTCTTCAACGACGTCTGGGCGACGGTGTCCACTGGGTTGTTCTTTCCGATTGAAGTCGTCGGACGGGAGAATTTGCCGAGCGCGACGACGGCGGCGGTGTACGTCGCGAATCACGCGTCGTTCATGGATATTTATTCCATGTTTCACCTGCGACGCCCGTTCAAGTTTGTGTCCAAGACGAGCAACTTTTTGATCCCCGTCGTCGGGTGGTCGATGTATCTCACGGGACACATCCCTCTGAAGCGCATGGAGCGTCGATCGCAATTGGAAGTTTTGAAGACGTGCCGCGAGATGCTCGCCGACGGTGGTTCGGTTCTTTTCTTCCCGGAAGGGACGAGAAGCGCCGATGGGAAGATGCAGGCGTTCAAGAAGGGAGCGTTTAGCGTCGCGGCTAAGGAAAATGTCCCAGTGGTGCCCGTCACCATCGTCGGAGCGCACGAGGCCATGGCGAGCGGTAAGGAGTACGCGCTCAACGCGGGTGGGATCAAGGTGATCGTGCACCCACCGATTCAATCCACCGACGCCGACGATCTCTGCAAGCGTTCCGAGGCTATCATTAAGGAGAGCCTCGTGAACAACTCGTGAGCGGCATCGAGTGTCGCCTTCGTCCCCGCCTTCGCGCGCGCGTCTCGAGTTCGACCCAAAGACGCGCGCGCTGCACATCCCGATGTAATACATCGACAATATGAATTGCACGCGAACCAACCGCCGCGCCATCGTCCGTGTCTTTACCGCTTTGTCTCTCTCGCGTGTCGCCGCCCACCCCGAGCCCGTCACCTCACATCGCACCGCGCCTCGCGCGTCTTCTCGCGCGCGCGCGATGCGATCGTCGGAGGTGATTGGGAACCTCGTAAACGCCTTCGATGTCGCTTCGAACGCGTCTACGATCGCCGCAGTCGCTCTTTTGGGGATTTTCACCCTCGGGCTCTTTTTCATTCTTTTCGTCCGCGCCCGCGCGCGCGCGACGCTCGCGCGCGCGTCCGTCCCCGCGGTGACGTGGCGGCCAAAGTTTCTGTGGCGTCTGTACTCTCGGAGCGCGCGTTCGCTGTTACAGAGGGTCGAACAGAGGTTTAGGAGAGGCGACGGGTCGGGACGCGGCCGCCGGGCGTTCGGCGCCGTCGTCGGCGCGTGCCCGTTCGTGCACGTCGGCGAGGCGCGGTTAGCTCGGGACGTTTTGCGGGAGACGTCGAGAAAGGCACCGCTGTATCACGCGTTCGAGGCGTTCTCGGGGACGGGTATATTCACCGCGGAGGGCGACGACTGGGACGGGAAGCGGACAGAGGTGCTTCGAGCGTTTCACGACGTCGGATTGGCGTCGTTACGAGACCGCGCGGTGGAGGAGAGCGCGAGCGCGGTGGAGGAGATGCGAGAGGTCGTTGAGCGCGGTGGAGGGGAGATCGAGGCGAGGGCGCTGCCGATATTGCAGAGGTTGGCGCTGCGGGTGACGTTCGCGTACCTCACCGGCGTTTCGCTGCGACGCGCGTGCGAAGACGTCGGACGCGAGCGGTCCGAGGTGGAGGGGGAGTACTTAGATGCGGCCACGACGCTGAGACATTTGATTCCGGCTCGGGCGCGTAGTATTTGGATATTTAGCGATTTATTGTACGGGTTGACGCCGGTGGGTCGACTCGAGGCGAGGAAGATTCGGACGACGCGCTCGCTGTCGGCGCTGGCGCTGCGCACGGCCAAGGAAGAGTCGCCACTCGGGAGACTTCGAGTCGGAGAGGCGCACTTGCGTGAGAAATCGATCAAGGTGGGCAAGGATGAGTATCCGAAGGGACTTCTCGACGAGGCGACGACGCTCTTATTCGCTGGTCACGACACGCAGAGTGCGACTTTATCGTGGTGCCTGCTTCGGCTCGTGCAAGACGTCGAGGTACAGAGCGAATTGCGTGCGAGCTTACGAGATGACATCATTGAGGAAGCATTAGGGTTACCGCCGTCGAAAAGCGGGTCTCGTCAGCGACGTTCGTCGGAGAAGACGACGAAACCCGCCTGGGCGACGTCAGCCTTTGCGCCCACGCTCGAGGCGGTGATTCGAGAGACTCTTCGCCTCCATCCGGTGGCGCCGCTCGTCGTGCGCATGCTCTCCTCGGATACACATAGTGAGAAGATGACAATTCCAAAAGGGTGTGCCGTGGGTGTTTGGTTGAGCTCGGTGCATCGCGACGAGTCGGTTTGGGAACGACCCGAGGAATTTGATCCGAAGAGATGGTTCGGCGGACCCGCACACGCGAGAACTGGGTCCATGGGAGGGAGCTCGAACGACGATGACGACAATGGAGGCATTTTGACGCCCTCACGGGATCGGAGCAACGCGCTCAGGCACAAGGGCGTCGGTTACATGCCTTTCGCGTATGGGCCGCGCTCGTGCGTCGGCCAACACTTGGCGCAGGTCACGATGCGCGTCGCACTCGCGCATCTCGTTCACGCGTTCGAGTTCGCGCCGAGCGCGGACCTCGACGCGTCGATGCCATCCGTGGGTTTCACCGTGACGCCCTCGACGGGCGCACCCGTGCGAGTTCGTCTCGCCGCGCGCGCGCCCGCGTAGCGTAGATATCATCGCTCGGCGCGGACATGACATTGAAATGAATGGATTATTTTTAAACGCATCATCGCCTCGAATCGAAATCGCGCGCGAGAACGACGCGACTAAAACATAAAATCACCCCGACGCATCCAGTCTCGTCGCTCACTCCCACCACTCCGGTTCGTATCCCGCCATTTGTAACCGCCTTCGAAGCTCGAGCGCCTTCTTCGTCGTCGTCGGATACAACGCGGTCAAGGTCGCGACATCGTCGTAGTCCACACCTCGCGCATCCGCCATCGCTCGACAATCCGCCCACCGCACGCGACTCTTCACCTCCTGCGACATCCTTCCATCGCCGTACCGCGGGTCGCCCTTCCGCGGCACCGACCACCCGCCGACGAGATACCATCTCTGCTCGCCCTGGTCCTCCTCGTAAAACAAATCGCTCACGTCGATCGACCGTCGCGCGCACTCCTCTAGCCCACGCTCGAGATCGCCGCTCTGCTTCGCCTTTCCCAATCCGAGCGCGAGGACGCGGGCGGCGAAGATTATCACTCCAGCCTCGACCGCCTCGCTAAAGTACGTCGCGATCGGCGTCGCGCGCGTCTCGATCCGTCGCCGCGACGCCGCGACGCGCGCGCGGTGTCGTCCGACGCGACGTTCGACGCGCGCGACGGACGCGCGCGACGCGGCGCGCGACATCTTCGTCGAACACCGCAGTGTGTCGCGCGCGCGAAAGATATTTCACGAATGGTTTTGTATTACGCCCCGCGTCGCGCCGCGGAGACCTCGCACGTCGTCTACGTGGGCGCGGATAAACACGAGAATGAACGGCTCATCGCGCACGGATTGCCCCACGACGTGTGGTTTCACGTCGACGCGCTGAGCAGCGCGCACGTGTACCTGCGGCTGAGACCGGGAGAGACCTGGGACGACGTCGCGGAGGACGAGCTGGAGGACTGCGCGCAGTTGGTCAAGGCGAACTCGATCGCGGGGAATAAGATTAACGATGTGTGGGTGATTTACACGCCGTGGGAGAATTTGTTGAAGCGCGGGGACATGGCGGTCGGGCAGGTTTCATTCGTGGATGAAAAGTTAGTGCGGAGAACCAAGGTGAAGACGCGGAGCAATGAGATCGTGAATCGATTGAATAAAACAAAGGAGGAACGTTTTCCTGATTTGCAGGCGGAGAAGGAGGAGTACGAGCGAGGGGTTCGGGAGGAGAAGAAGCGGGCGTATCACGAGTCGGAACGAAGGAGAAAGGAAGAGGAGCGTCTGCGGCTCGAGGAGGCCGAGGCTCGGGACTATAAGCACATGATGAACGAGGAGAAAATGAAGAGTAATAAAGAGTTGGCGAAGAAGTACGCGTCGGTGGAGGAAGCGGAGGATGATTTCATGTGACGTCGGTGGCGAAGGTTCGACGCGTCGCGCGCGGTGGCAGTCGCATCGCTCGAAGATAGAAGTACCGGTACCGTTAGCGTGTTGTTATCATTTTTTTCGATTTGATTACCTTCGTCTCCGTATAAAAACCAATGGCTAGGGATGGCTCGGAATCGAGAACGACAGGTTTGGAAGATAGTAGAGCGCGTGAGCTGCGGAAAACCGCGTGCTGTCGACCAATTTCATCTCCGCTAATAGGCTTCCATGCCTTAGATGAGATCAGCGACGTTGGAGGGAAGTTCCTCGATGACCGTTTGGTAGAAACGTTGGATGTCCTGGAGGAGGCGTTCGTCGTCGGAGGTAACAAAGTTGATGGCGACACCCTTACGACCGAAACGGCCGGAACGACCGATACGGTGAAGGTAGTTTTCGGGCTGCGTGGGCAAGTCAAAGTTGATCACCAACGAAACTTGTTGGACGTCGATACCACGAGCAAGCAAGTCAGTGGTGATCAACACACGGGACGAGCCGGAGCGGAACTCGCGCATGATGACGTCACGGGTGTTTTGATCCATATCACCGTGCGTGGCGGAGACGGTGAAATCGCGGGCACGCATGTTGTCCGTGAGCCAGTCAACCTTACGACGAGTGTTCGCGAAGATAACGGACTGCGTAATGGCGAGCGTTTCGTACAGATCGCAGAGCGTGTCCAGCTTCCATTGTTCCTGGTCGACGTTGACGTAGAACTGCTTAATACCTTCAAGGGTGAGTTCGTCACGCTTGACCAAAATGCGCACCGGCTTGGTCATGAACTTGCGCGTGATCTCGAGCGCCTCCGGCGGAAGCGTCGCGGAGAAAACACCAACTTGAACCTTCGGCGGGAGCAAGGTGAAGATGTCGTAGATTTGATCCTTGAAACCTCGGGAAAGCATTTCATCGGCTTCGTCAAGAGCAAAGATCTTGATGTGGTCGCTCTTCAAAGCGCGACGACGAAGCATGTCGTAAACTCGACCCGGGGTACCGACGATGACGTGGACACCAGCTTGGAGGATGCGGGTATCTTCACGAACGGACGTACCGCCGACGCACGCGTGGCACTTCACTTGAAGGTAGTCGCCGAGGGCGCGCATGACCTTCTCGATTTGCTGGGCCAACTCCCGCGTCGGCGCCAAGACGAGCGCTTGGCACTCGGTGACGGAGTAGTCCAAGGATTGGAGGATACCGGCGCAGAAAGTGGCCGTCTTACCGGTACCGGATTGCGCCTGCTGGATCACGTCAAGACCCTTGGAGAACGGCACAATACCACGTTGCTGAATGGCGGACGGCTTTTCAAAACCATACGCGTAGATCCCGCGGAGCAAGTTCTCTTGGAGGTTCATCGTGTCGAACGTCTCGTGGACTTCCGTCCATTCCGTGATGATCGCGTTTCCGTCTTCATCCTTCTCTTCGCGGAGGAGTTCCTCCATGCCGCGGTCGTAGTTGGTGTCGTCGAATCCTCCTTCACCAGACATGTTGAAGTTTCTGCGTCGGGGAATTCACGGCGAGATGTCGTCAGTCGTTTGTTCGTGCGCAGTTCTCATCATGCCCTCATTCGTCGTCCCCACGTGCGCCACCGATTGCGACGGACGAACGATCTAGAAACCAAAGATCATTTTACCGCGCATTCGCGCCGCCACGCGCGCGTTCGCCTTCCATCACCCACGCGAGCGCCCGTGAGACCTCGTCGAGCGACGATACGACGGAATGTCTCCTTTAAAAGATTTCCATCGCCATCGCGCTTCATCGCGCGCGGTCTCGCGTCGCGCTCGGTGTCCGATCGATCGAAACGCCATCGTGTCCATCGCGCCGCCGCTCGAACGAAGACCCATCTCTCACGATCGATCGCGTTTTCGATCGCCCCGCGTCCGCGCGCGACGACGCACGCGAACGAACCTTTTTTAAGCGTTGTTTGGGCGTGCGTAAGGGTGCGGTCGTGCGTCGTGACGCGACTGTGTGAGGCGCCGGCGTCGGTCAAACGCGCCCGAGATAGGGTTAAAAACAAAAACCCAGCATTTTGTTCACGTGCGATATTTACAAAGGTCTAAAATGTCCACACTACACTCGGACGCCGCTCGCGCACTCGATGGCGGTTTTTGTGGTCACGTATGCACTCGCGATGTTTCGTCGAGGGCGCGACGCGCGACGTCGACGCCGTCGCGCGACGCGTGCGATGGCGCCCGCATCGCTCTCGAGCGCTCGGACGGCGTTCGCGAGGGGGCAGGCGAGCTCGTTCGCCGACCGAGCCGGATGGAGCGCGAAGAGCGCGCGAAGAGGGATGTCGAGACGCGCGAGCGTCACGAAGACGCCGAGAGCGCTCTTCACCGGTCTGGTGCAGGGCAAGGCGCGCGTGCGGTCGTTTGAGAACTTAAACGACGAGTTCGCGCGGCTCACGTTGGAGTTTCCAAAGGGGGCGCTCGATGGAATCCTCATCGGGGCGTCGGTGGCGGTGAATGGGACGTGTTTGACGGTGGTGGAGCTCGGCGCGGATGGCGCGAGCGCGAGCTTTGACTTGATCGTCGAGACGCTCAGGGCGACGAATCTCGGGAAGTTGAGCGTCGGGAGTGAGGTCAATTACGAGCGGAGCGCTAGGGTTGGGGATGAGATCGGGGGGCACACCGTGAGCGGGCACGTGCACTGCACGGCGGCCATCGTGGAGGTGGTGGACACCGAGAATAACAGAAAGGTGGTATTCGAGACGAGCAATCGTGGGTTGATCAAGTACGTTCTGCCGAAGGGTTTTATCGCCATTGATGGGTGTAGCTTGACCGTGGGAGAGGTCGATAAGACCACGGGGCGATTCAACGTATGGTTGATTCCCGAAACGTTGCGCGTGACGGTGCTCGGGACGAAGCGCGTGGGCGACACGGTGAACATCGAGATCGAATCGCAAACCCAGGTCATCGTGGACACCATCGAGCGATACATGGCGGAACGAGGAATTTAGCGGCTTACTGGTAGTCAATTTGCTAGAGTTTCAATTAAAGAAGTTTAAAGTTTCATTTGTCCACAATTGTGTTTACTTTTTAGGCCCGGCGACTCGCGACGAAATTTACACGGCTCGGAAGTGAGCTCACAAAAAACAGATAGCTCATGCATGACGAAAGTTACAGGATGCCCTTCATGAATCGAACGCCACAGGCGTTGCAAAGTGTCTTCTTACCCTCCGGTCCCATACGCCACTGCGGCGTTTTCACCGTGCCGCAGTGCAAGCATCCGCGGCGCTGCTTCTTGCCGTTCGCCATGACGAAGACATCCGTTGCACGAACCGCCTTGTAGTCCTTCCTTATCGTCTTGAACGCCTTCGCACGTTTGATCGAAATCTCTTCCTCACGACGCCTGCGTTTCTTCGTGTCTACTTTCTTCACTTGAGCGACGACGTCAGCATCGGAGTCTTCACCTTCGGTGACCTCTCCATTAGCGCTGTCCTCGAGTTGGCGTTTTGCCACCTTTCCGCACGGTGCAACGAGCTCGCTGGAGACGCGGAATACGCGCCCATCGGCGATGGTGGCGAAGTGTTCTTGAGACTCGAGCACCAAATCACGCTCCATGGCGCTGCATTCGCGCTCATATTCTTCGAGATCGTCGTCGCGAAGCGACGCCGCGCTCTTGAGGGCGAAATCGATGTCCACTTTCGGCGCATCTGTCGCCCGCTCGGTGGGGAAATCGTCCGCCGGACCGCGAACGTAATCGAACGGAGCTTCTCCGCTCATAAAACTGTCATCATCGACGTGAAGGAACGCACTCTCGCGCACAGTTTCCGCGAAGCGTCGGCTCGCGTCCTCGTCATCGGCGTAGTCGCCCTCGTTATCGCTCTCGGCAGTGCTCTCGGTCCGATGATCGAGCCACTCAGGAGAGAGGAACGGCTCGTCGTCGCGATCGAAGCCCGTATCGCTTTCACGCATCATCATCATCACCCCCGGAGCGACCGACGGTAACGAGTTCAACACACTCCAAGCCTGTAGATTGAATGCAAAAAAAGTCGTCAGTCGAGTCCGAGGTGGGCACACGCGCTCGTGCGAGCGTGTTTCGAGGTCGAGATCGCGACATCGTTTCCGATCTCGCTTCAGGACACGTCGTAGAAATGTCGTAGAAATGTCGAAGAACTCGTCATTTCCCATCGAAAACACGCACCTTGTCCATGAAAACCGCATCAAAATGAACCTCAAAATCGAACCGCTCAAGTCCCGTCGCCGTGTCTGCGACAGCCGAGGAACGTTGTCTCTCGCTCACGCCCGCCTCCCGCGCGCGTTCGCTCACACCAACGTCCGTGTCTTCGAACACGATCCACTTCTCGATCGTGCTCTCGTCCAAATCGCTCATAGCGCACTCCGAGACCTCGGCGCTGTCGTTCTCCAGACCTCTCCTCTCGGTGCCGGGAATTCCGTCGCTGTCTCGAGGAAACAGGTGCCGAGCGCTTATACCGTTGATTTCTTCACCGAGCGCGCCCTCGCTCGCCTCCGCGCGCCCACGCGAGCGTCTCGAACGAACACAATCTTGTTCCAAGACGTCTCTCTCGCCCTCGCGCGCCCTCGAACGTCGCGCGGACGTCGGACACGGAGACGATGCGATCGCTCCGCGGTCAACGCGCGTGACGACTCCACGCGCCTTTGACGCGCGCACGACGCCCGCGCGCCCGTCCCCTCTCGCGACCGCGATGGAAGAAAATTCCTCCATCGTTTCCCCCCGCGCCCGGGCCGCGTTCGCCCCGCGCATCGCCCCTCCATCGCGATGATCTTCCGGTCGACGTCCTCTCGGAGTCGGAGGCGTTTTCCGGAGCGTCGCGCGCGTTTTCCCCCGCCGCGGTCGCTCGTTCGCGTCCGCGAGCGCCACCGATGGACGCGACGCGCGTCGTTTCGACACCATCACCCCCCCCGCTCGCGCGCGCGTTCGCCCGATGCGCGCGCGCGCGCGTCGTCACCGACGAAGGATGCCGACGTCGCGCGCGACGGCGACAGGTGGCCCAAAAGTCGCCTTTTTCCGCGCGCGCGTCGGCGCGTGTCCTCGGGGCGCGTCCACGAGTGCGGACTCGTGGAAATGTGGCGGGAAAACGCGAAAAACGGAACAACGCCCACGCGCGCGCGGCGACGAAAAAGTGCCGCGCGCGCGGTCGACGGGCACGTCCGCGCACTGTTCGCCCACACGCGCGTGATGTGGAATATTTCCACGCCCCGACCCGCGCGCGCGCGCCCGGCGCGGGGGCGTGACGTATGGGCACACACATGGGCGTGTGCGTCGCGATGTATGACGATCGCGTATACGCGTGTGTATACGTCTGTGTACGCGCGCGGCGTCGACGCCATCGTCGATGGATGGATGCCCCGGGCGCGCGCGCGCGAAGACCTCGGCGCGCGCGCTGGACGGGGCGACGCCGACGGCGACGCGATCGCGAGCGACGGGCGCGGGGTGATCGCGCGCGGGCGATCGGGCGCGTTGGACGGGCGTGGACGGCGCGAGGGCGCGCGCGCGGGTGATCTGCGCGCGATCGCGGCGACGCGCGAGCGCGCGCGCGATGGGCGACGGTGGAGGGAAGAGCGCGTTCGATGGCGCGCGGGGGATGTCGGTGGCGTCCACCGCGGAGGCGCTCGAGGAGTTGGGCTACGCCGCGTCGTACGCGAAGGATGGATTGGTTGAAATTCTAGGGAAGCTGCCGAGGCTGGACGACGTCGGCTTGGCGAAAGTGCTCGGTATGGTGTGCAGGACGACCGCTGGGTTGGATCAGGCGAACGGGGGGGACGCGATGGCTTCGTTGGCCAAGGCGGCGGGGATCGCCGCGCCGAGCGCAGAGGCTTTGAGGATGACTACGTGGAACGGGGACGCGGTTGTGGACGCGGTGAACGCGGCGTACAAGGAATTAAACTGGGATAACGCGATGGAAAACCTCGACCAGCCCGAGTTTGGATGTCCGACGGAGGCCTCTTTCCGAGTGTTGTGCGGGATGTACTCCAGGGCGACTGGTAAGAGCTTCCCGGCGAAGGCGTTGTGCGCTGCCCCGTGGGGTAAGAATCAGTCGGGTCAGATTCAGGCTTTGCGCCAGCTCTTGGGCTCGACCAGAGAACAGTGCGATTGGGCGGATTTGAAACACGTCGATGTTGAGGGTACGACAGTGGGGCCATGGGCGTGTGTAGAGTTGATGGCGACTCTCGGAGCGCTGAGTGAGAAGGGACACCGAGACGCGGCGCGGGGGGCTCTCGAGCCTGGCTCGAGCAGATCGCCGGAGACTGTGTGTATCACCCTCTCGCAGGCGTGCGATGAGCACAACACGCTCGCTAGGGACGCGTTTGGCGCGCTCTTGCCCCCGTACGTGGCGGCGGCGCACCCAAAGGCTGGCTTAGTTTTGCGCAACGTGTGGGGGAAGCACTCCGTGGCTGTGATTCGCGCCATGGTGGACGCTCACTCTTCCTCGCCCGCGGCGGCGGAGCGCATCTTCGAGGTGTGCCAAGAGTTGAACGCATTAAATGTCGTCATCGAACGATCTCCGTTCCCGCTCGCGATCGAGATGGTAACGATCGCGTCAAGGAAGGTCGGCGTCAACCTGGAGCAGTGGATACAGGAAAAAATCAAGGCGAGCGGCGCCGCTTCTGTGAGCGCGTGCATGCGATTCTTGCGCGCCAGGGCGATGCAGGAGGGTACTGAAAAGGGCGGTGCGCCCCTCGCATCGGATGTGGTCCAGATTTTCATGAAGGTTCTCCTGGGCGTGGCTTCGAGCATGCCGCCCGATTTGCAAGCAGAGTTACGTCAACTCATCACGCAGATTCAAAACTCCCCCAATAAGGGTCGAGACGCCAGTGCGGATGATATGGCGGCTCAAGCCGGCACCGCGCAAGGATTCAGCGCGGACATCGAAGAGGAGGCGAACCGCTATTTCCAGCGCGTGTACTCTCAGCAGCAATCCATCGGTGAGTTGGTGGAGGTGTTGCGAAACTTCCGGGCGAGCCTGGTGCAACGCGAGAGAGATATCTTCTCTTGCATGGTGCACAACCTGTTCGATGAGTACAAGTTCTTTCCCAAGTACCCGGAGAAGGAACTTCGAATCACCGCCGTACTCTTCGGACAGCTTATCCTGCATAACCTTGTCAGCAACATCACCCTCGGCGTCGCCTTGCGATGCGTCTTGGACGCGCTTCGCAAGCCGCAAGGGTCGAAAATGTTCGCCTTTGGCTCCGATGCGCTCGAACAATTCAAGCGTCGACTCGCAGAGTGGCCGCAGTACTGTCAGCACTTGGCTCAGATCCCACACCTGCCCCAGGCGCATCCAGACTTGATGCCGCTCTTCGCCAAGGGTGGCGATCAAACAGTGGCACTCGGTCGCAGCGAGCCAAGCATGAACACCGCCGCGAACGCGGACGCGCAGCTCGCCGCTGGCGTCGCTGGTATGCGGCTTGGCGATGGTGAAGGAAATAACTCACCTTTGCCGCGCTCGTTATCGTCGGCGGTGAACATCGGTGTGCCCCCGCAACCACCAGGACCACCACCGCCGGGCGAGGTGGGGCCGAAGGCGCCAACTCGAGGCCAGAGCCAACCGCAACTCGCTCGGGTGTCCAGCGGAGGACAGATGTCGAACATTAGCAACGCGCCGAGCGGATTCGCAACGTCGCTCAACATCGACACCCTGGTCGCCGCGAACGCCGAGGCTGTACAAGCTGACTCGGCAACCGCGGACAAGGTGCACTTTTTGGTGAACAATCTCTCCGCGGAGAATGTGGAGGAAAAGTCGGCCGAAGTCAAGGCTAAGGTCACTGCCGATCTATACGAGTGGTTTGCGGGATATCTTGTCGTCAAGCGCGCGTCGATTGAACCGAACTACCACACTTTGTACCTCGAGTTACTCGACAAGATAGGCGAGAAGGCTTTGTACAAGGCTATTTTACACGCCACTTATCGTAACATCAAGGTCTTGCTGTCGAGCGGTAAGGTAAAGACGAACAGCGGTGAGCGAAGCTTGCTCAAGAACCTCGGCTCTTGGCTCGGTCAGCTTACCATAGCGAAGTGCAAACCAGTGTTGCAGCGTGATTTGGACGTCAAGGCTTTGATCCTGGAGAGCTACGAATCGGGTCGCATGATTGGCGTCGTCCCGTTCGTCGCCAAGGTGCTTGAACCGTGCAAGGCTAACATGATCTTCCGTCCTCCGAATCCGTGGACGATGGCGATCTTATCGCTATTGTGCGAAATCTACAACGAGCGAGATCTCAAGTTAAACCTCAAGTTCGAGATGGAGCGTCTGTTCAAACACTTGGAAGTCAACATCAAGGACGTCGAGCCGTCGACTTTGCTGGTGTCTCGCATGCGTGAGCGCATCAACAACCCCGACTTTGTTGCGGACAAAAACTTCGCCCCACCGCCAGCCTCACATTCGGCTTCGTCGGAAGGGTCGTTGCAACAAAGCAGCGTCGGCAGTCGGGGCATGGACGAAGAAGAGAAGAGCCGATTGCAGACACAAAGTCTCGAGGGCGCCTTGCCAAACATGCAAGCACACGTTCGTGTCGCTGCGGCGCCGAACCTCCCCGAGTCCACTCGGGCGGCAATCGTTCGTCTCCTACCGGTGGCTTTGACGCAGGGTATTCGAGAAATCGTTGTTCCTGTCGTCGAGCGTTCGGTCACGATCGCGTGCAAGACGACTCAGGAGTTGGTACGAAAAGATTTCGCCACGGAGGTCGACATCAACCGCGTTCGCAAAGCGGCACATCTCATGGTTTCTTCCCTCGCCGGCTCTCTAGCTTTGGTCACTTGCCGAGAACCTCTCAAGGCGAGCGTCGCAAATCAGCTTCGAGCGCTGTTGCAACAATCCGGCGCCGGTGCTGGCGCCGAGACGGCTGCGCTCGAGGCTGCAGTTCAGTCTGCTACGGTTGATAACCTCGAGTTGGGTTGTGTCCTCATCGAAAAGGCGGCTTCGGAGAAGTCGATTCGAGACATCGATGAACTTCTTGCGCCTGCGGCGATAGTTCGTCAGAAGCACCGCGAGTCTGGGGTCAACCAGCCGTTCTTCGATGCTTCCATCATGCAAGGTCAGCACCTGGCGCTTCCAGAATCGCTCAGGCCTCGACCTGGGCAGCTTCCCACCGCGGCGCTTCGCATCTACGACGACTTCGCGCAGCTCCCCCGCGCGCCGCCGCCGCCGCCTTCTGGCGCGCCACCTGCGTTCGCTCGACAACCGTTCGGTCAGCAACCGCCGCCGCCACCCGTGGCTTATCCAGGCATGCCGCCACCACCGCCACCGGGCGCGCCACCGCCGCTTCCCCCAGACGCGCCCGAGGGCTCCACGGAAGCCCCAACGGAAGCAGCGAAGGATGCATCGAAGACTCTATCGACTGGAACACATCCGCACGGTCAACCAGATCCCGCTGGATTGCGCGAGAAGGTCGCCGCTCACTTCGACGAGTGGGCTCGAGTTCAGGACTTGCCGCCGACAGACGTGGCGAGCGTTGCATTCATTCAGCGATTGGTCGAATCTCGACTGCTCGCAGAAGACACGCAAGAACGTTTCTTGCGCATCTTGGTTGAACTCGCAGTGACACACTGCCTCAGCAGCGAGGTTCCGGGTGCGACGCCGCAGGCGAGCTCTCAGCTCTCGTTCGCCGCGATTGACGCCTACGTGCGCCTCGTGATTCGATTGGTTCGTCGCAAGGAAGAGCCGCTCGCTTCGCGACTGGCGTTCTTCGGTCGGGCCTTGGTAGCCATCGTGCGCACGGCAATGCGTGATACGGATGAACGAAATGTGGCTTTTAACGCCCGTCCGTACTTCCGCGCTCTCGCTGGCTTGCTGAACGAGATGCACCCCTCGGACACGGCATTGGACTCCTCTCATCCTCAGGTCCTCGCGGCGTTTGCGTCCGCCTTCTTGGCGCTGCAACCGCTTCGTGTGCCCGGTTTCGCGTTTGCCTGGCTCGAGCTCGTCTCGCATCGCTGCTTCATGCCGAGACTTTTGATTGATCACGAGCAAAAGGGTTGGCCGCTCCTGCAGCGCCTCTTGACGGCGATTTTGCGCTTCATGGAGCCGCACTTGCGCACGGCTGATCTCTCTGAGCCGATCAAGTTGCTTTACAAGGGTATGCTGCGCATGTTCTTGGTGCTCTTGCACGACTTCCCTGAGTTTTTGTGCAACCATCACGTGAACTTTTGCGACATAATCCCGCCCAACTGCATCCAGTTGCGCAACTTGGTGTTGTCCGCGTACCCGCGAAACATGCGACTTCCTGACCCGTTCACACCCAACTTGAAGGTTGATTTGCTTCCGGAGATTCAACAGGCGCCGAGAATGAACGCCGACGCTGATCACGCGTTCCGCTCCTCGCCCATGCGCGAGGAAGTGGACTCGTTCCTCAAGACTCGAAAGCCTGAGAACTCGAGCCAGCTCTTGGTTCATCGCTTGACGTTGTCGCCATCCGCCGCCCTCACTGCGGGGACAAAGTACAACGTTCCGCTGCTCAATGCTTTCGTTCTCTACGTCGGCGTCCAGGCGATCCAGGCCAACCGAAATAAGGACGCATCCAGTGGCATCGCTCAGAGCGCTCCCATGGAGCTCTTCTCGCAGCTCATTCAAGCGTTTGACATGGAGGGTCGTTATCTCTTCGTCAACGCGATCGCGAACCAACTTCGCTATCCGAACTGCCACACGCACTACTTCTCGTGCGTGATCTTGTACTTGTTCTCCGAAGCCAAGTTCGGAATCATTCAAGAGCAAATCACGCGCGTGCTCCTCGAAAGACTGATCGTGAACCGGCCGCATCCGTGGGGTTTGTTGATCACCTTCATCGAGCTCATCAAGAATCCGCGATACAACTTCTGGGGACACTCTTTCACCAAGTGCTCACCAGAAATCGAGCGACTTTTCGAGTCTGTCGCTCGCTCGTGCTTACCGCAAGACAAGGAAGGTACCGCGCAAAGTAAGCCGGTGCCGGTGCACGCGAGCTAATCGCAGCGAAACTCTGATACCGCCTCTCTTCTCACTACAAAGCTCGCCCTGCGCGTTCTCCCATCTGCCCAACACAAGATGAGAAAAAACAAAAAAAGCTCTAGAGCTAGACGTGGAGGATAGCCTCCACACGTTGTTTCTATAAATACATACTCAAAAAATTAAATTGTCGACAGACCACGCATTCGCGAAGTCATTTCGTCCTCCCAGACGTCGACTTTGACGCGAAGCGCTTGCAACCACTCGGAGGCGTCGTCGCCGAATGTCTCGCGAAATTTCTCCTTCGCTCCCTCCGCCTCACGACGAAGCGCGAGTGCCTCCGCCTCGGCAACGCGTACGCGACATCTCGCCCACGCAGTTTCCAGACGAAGTTCCCGATCCACCTCGTCTCCATCTTCGTCCACGAATCGAACGTCCTCGACGCCCGCCATCCGGCGCAACGCCGCCACCTCACGTACCAACACCCGCACGCTCTCCACGTCACACCACGCCGCACTCGCAAATTTCAACGCGTCATCCACCGCGCGCAGCGCCTCTCGCACCCCGTCGTCCGCATCATCACCACTCGCGTCGTCGAACGGCGTCCCACCCGTCCCGTCACCGCGCGCCTCCGACACCATCACCGCCCCCGCGCGCGCCCCCGAGCGAGCACGACGACGCGTCCACGGCGCGCGCGCGCGCGCGTCGTCGGGCCCGTCGCGCGGCGTCGCCCGATCCCGAATGTATCCCCCGTCCGAGGGACGCGACGGCGCGCGCGCGCGCGCCGCGCGACACGTCCGACCGACCGCGACGGGCGCGGGCGACGCACACAGCCCCGTGGCGCGCCGACGACGCGCGCGACCACGAACGCCGTCCACGAGACGCGAGACATCGACCACGGCTGGGCGATGGACTCGGTCGGGTGAAATCACGATCACCGTCGACATCACCACCCGACACTTCGTGATGTGCATCACCGTCACCACCCATCGACGGTGATGGACTCGACCGAGGCGATGGACGTCGTGTCGCGACACAAAATCGCCCGGCGCCGATACAGGAAAATATCCGAGAAAGATCTCGAACCGTTCCCGCGAAAAGTGCGGGGTGAAGACACGTTTCCGAGTCATCACTCGTGGAGACGACCGACCCGTGGGCACGCGCGCGCGGGCGTCCCAATCGACGCGACGCGTCGACGGCAGCGCACACGTCGACGCGGACACCACGGCGACGGGCGCGCGCGGGACGTGTGCGTGACGTGATATTCCACGACGCGCGACCGCGAGCGCGGGTGAGCGGATCGACGACGTCGCGCGCGGCGCACGTCGGGGATTGGACGTTTGGATTGTCGTCGGTGATCGACGCGAGCGAGGGCACGGGGGATCGATCCGACGCCGTGCGGCGCGCGCGCGTTGTGTGGCGCCTCGAGGTGATCGAACGGGCGTGCGAACGATGCGTGGGAGCGGTGCGATGGGGGCGAGGGCGGTGGCGGTGCGGGCGCCGAGGGCGGGGCGACGGATGGTGAAGACGGCGAGCTCGAGCAGCGGACGGTTCGAGAGCCGCGCGAGCGCGTCGATGACGTCGCGCGCGCGGGAGATGGAGCAGACGTTGGAGGTGCAGGCGGAGGGTGAGGGTGTTGAAGATGAGATGCGTGAGATCGCGGTGGATGCGCGCGCGCCGCGAGTGCGAAGAGATCGGGCGAAGACGGCGTCGAGAGAGCTCAAGCGGAGATTTCAGTCGCGAGACGCGCGGTGCGTCATCCTCGCGGGTGGGGCGGATGAGACGAATCCGTTGACGCGAAGACGCGCGAGGAGTGCGGTGCACTTGGCTGGGACGTATCGCGTGATCGATTTCCCGATGACCAACCTCATCAACTCGGGGATGCGTCAGTTGTACGTCTTGACGCAGTTCAACAGTCACTCGCTCGTGACGCACGTGAACAAGGCGTTTCCTTCGGAATTATTCGGAGGCGAAGTAAATGGTTTCGTTGAAGTTTTACCGACGAGCCAAACTCGCGAGCATGGGGAGACGTGGTCGTTGGGAAGCGCGGATTGTGTCGCGAGACACTTGTCGAGCGGCTCGCTGACCAAGTACACGTACGAGATGCGCATGGAGGATGAGTGTTTACGACAGCTCGGCTCGCTCGATGAGTGCTTGATGAGTGAGCTCGACGGGACAACCATCATTTTGTCCGCGGAGGCGCTTTACTCGATGAATTTCGCCGAGCTCTTGGAGCAGCACTTCTTGAAGGGAGCAGATGTCACAATTGCTACGTGCAATCAAATCTCCTCTGACCAGGCAAACGCCTTTGGAATCCTGGACGTTGACGAGATGACAGCTCAAGTGAATTGCTTCATTGAGAAGCCGACGAAGGCTCAATTGGAAGAGTTCATGCAGTGCACGACGGAAGAGCTCGAAAGCTGCAAGCTCGACGCCAACATGGGCGTGTACGTTTTCAACAACTCCGCCCTATTGGAGTTGTTGACGGCGTCAAAGTCTGGCGTGGCGCCAGGGGACCGACACGAGTTCGGTAAGGACGTGATACCGTACGCGATTGATATGGGTTACGACGTGAAGGCTTTCAGACATTCCGATTACTGGAAACCGCTCCGAAGTCTTCGCGACCTTTACGAGGCGAATATATCCATCGCCGTCGGCGGCGACGCCGCTTCACTTCTCACACACGGGCGTCAGGTGTACACTAAGCCGAACTTTTTGCCGCCCACCACGTTCCATGGTTCAGTTTACACCGAGAAAACAATTTTCTCGGATGGATGTCTCGTTCAGGACGGTTCACGCATCGTGAACTCCGTCATTGGCGCGTGCACCTCTATCGACAAGAACGTCGATCTGGAAGGCGTCGTCGTCGTCGGGCGCGACGAAATAATGAAACGATCCGGCGGTGTGAACAGCGTCCCCGACATCGGTGCGAACACCATCATTCGCAAGTGCATCATCGATTCTGATGCCACCATTGGCGCGAACGTGCGTATCGTGAACGCGGCTGGGATTGAAGAACTCGATCGCACCGATGAAGGATACGTTATCACCGAAGGCATCGTCACCATCCTGGGTGGTGCGATTATTCCGGACGGTTTCGTCATCTAATCACGAAATATTAAACCGGCTTACCAAAATCTCACGACAAAAGCCGTATCAACATGGGGCGCATGTTAACGAAGTAACCGCATGAATAGAACCACATGGACGTGTGCTTTGACAAATCTAAACTGAAGAATCTACGTGCGACACTTAGTCTCTCACTAGAGCTGCCGCTGTGTAAAACTACGAAATGAAGTCGAGTGAATCAACTTTTGTATGTTTCAAGACAATAAATGCACACTACTAACGTACCGTTACCGGTACTCACTATAGTTTGTGGAATTCTGTCGCGCCGTCGCTACCGTTGCTCACGCTCGACCTTGGCGAGTCGAGAAGCTTTTGCTCACTCTCGTCACCCGTTCCACCCTCCGCCTCGGCTAACTTCCGGACGTCTTCGTCCGCTTTAGTCATTTGGTAGTACGCGAATCCTAGCACATTCACTCCGTACCCGAACAACTGCAAGAACGTTGTCTTCTCACCCATGAAGATGACGCCTATGAGAATGATGGCAATGTTTCGCAACTGACCAGCGGCCTTGAACGTCAGTGATCCACAAGTCTTGATCACCCCGAGCGTGGTGATTAGAACTAGAAACCCCAAGACCGAAACCGCGATAAATGGCCACGGATTCTGGCGAACTATCTCTAAGTCCCCCCGCAGCGATATTTCCCTCTCTTCAAAGATTGCCACCCCTATCGCTAGGAAGAATAAGTTCGCTGGACACGTGTAAAACAACCCCTCCAACAGACCGAACCCGCGATTATCTAAGAAATTCTGAAACAACACCATTCGCATCGACTCCGCGCCTTCACCGATGATCATCAACGTCATCCCGAGCGCCGTGAACGTCTCCTCTGTGGCGCACGCCACACCCATGCCGACTGTCATCATCGCCACCGACACCACCTTTGGCTTCGTCGGCGTGTCTAACTTTGCCATCACTAACATCGCAAACACCACGCACGGCGACAGCGACTTCATCATCTGTATGAAACTGACGCTAAGGTACAGATACAACTGGTTCCCAGCCGCGTAGGTCACCGCGGTAAAGAAGCCAATCGGGAAAACCGTCAACAACCACTCTCTAATCGTCAGCGTCTTCTCCAGCTTCACGCGATTCGTCACCACCAATACGGCGGCGATGATCCACGAGACCAAAGGCCCCGTGGCGCTCACCGCGATCGGGTACGGGAAGTCGTACTTGTTCAGCACCGCGTCGTTCAACAGGATTATCAACCCACTCGTCGTGCCCCACGCGAGGAGGTAAAACGTCGCTCGGAACGCGTACACCGCTCGCACGAGGCGTTCATCTCGCAAATCTCTTCCCCCAAACCCGAGAATGGCGCGTGATAACGTCGTGAGCGCGCCCATCGCTCTGAACACCCTTCGTTCGTGTTGACCTCGCTCGAGCGACGCTCGAGCGATCTTTACGCGTCGACGGTCGTTTTCGCGAACTAGATCGACTCGTGAGACGTTCACGCGTCAGCGCGGACGCGACGGATTCGTCGCGCCGCGCTGCGCGCGTGTGTCTGAAGTTTCTGGAATGACTGACGTACTAAAAACAACTCTATGTGACTACTCATTTGGCTCCTCCGCGTCCTCTGCTTCATTCTGCTCGCCATCTCCCGCATCCTCGCCATCGCCGTCGGCGACTCCATCTTTCTCATCGCCGGCATCGTCTCCCTCGTCCTCCTTCTTCTCGTCTCGCTTCCGCTTCGCGCTCCGCTGCCAGGTCTCCAGCGCCGCGCGCGTTTCCAGAGCAATCTCACCGAAGTCGCACTCTTCAATCGCCCTCAACACATCCTCCGCGCTCACCGTCTGTCGACGATGATCTCGACAGATCTCGTTCGCCGTCGCAGTGATGTAGTGAATGAAAATCTTCGCGCACTCGCCGTGTGCGGTCAGGGCATCTTTTTGAATGTTTGGTTCGAATGCTTGTCCCTTGGCATCGACGTTATCGAGGGCGTTGAGCTTGGACTTGACGATACGCTTGACGTGCGCCCTCGGGAGGTCCTCGTCCATGACGGTCGCGAGGTGAGAGTGCACGCGCGACGCGCGATGCAGTGTGTCGCAAGGGAGAAACCAGTTGCTCGAGCTGTCGAGCGCGCGAGCGCGGTGCATGTTAGGTCTATACTTTACTTTTCATGTTTACCGGTACAAGACGTGGCATCTAATTGTTATCACGTATAGCGCCAGTTAAAGCCCTTGAGGGAGTTGGAGAGCTGTCCAACTTGCTTGGTGAGCTCGTCGTTTTGAGCCTTGAGCTCGGTCGCTATTTTCGCTCGCTCTTTATCTGTCGCATTGAGTGCGTCTCGTAGACTAGCCTCGACCGTGTCAGGGTGAGCGTTTTTGTATCCGTCGAGCGCGCTCGTGCGACCGGTGTCGACGGCGTCGAGGTTATAGTCGAAAAGATTGTCCCACTTATTGTCCAGGAGGGCGAGCGCCGTCTTGAGCGGCGTCGCGGCGTAGAGCACTCCGGCGCGCTGCTCGACCAGACCCTCTCGAAGGAGTTTAATGATGCTACCCTCGACGTCGAAGTCGACGTCCACGCCGAAGACATTCTTGAGGAAGACCTCGCACTCGATGTCAATCTCCTTGAGCGTCATGCTTTTTCCTCGGATGGTCAGGATGACAAACGCGAGAACCATTTCCTTGCACTCTTGATCCTCCATCGATTCCAGAAGGTGCATCAACATCCCATCTTGAGAGTTCGCGCTCTTTGCGATGAGTTCCTTCGCCATCATGCCGGAATAGCGCATCTTAGCGGCGTTTACGGCGGTGTAGGACTGACCAAGCTTACCGAGCGACGCAAGCAGAATTGTTTGCATCTTCTTGGTCCAGACTTCGCCCTTGATCAACGCCCAGATGAGCGTGCCGATCGCCAGAACAATGGCGATACCGTTTTGGATCATCTCCGACAGCTTCACAGACATGGTCTTGTCGGGGAAGATCATCTCGAGATCTGCCATCGGGATGTTGGTGAACGACTTGATGATAAGAGGTCCGGCACCGGACGGGCCCGAGGGCTCGTTCGGGCGTGGTTGGGCCATGCGATAAAGCAGCACCACCTCCTTGAATGTTGGTTCCTGAATCTCGAGCGTCGAGAAGAGCTTACGCAGCAGGACGAAAATATTTGGCATCAGTCGTCTAAGCGTGAGACGCTCGAACGACGTCACGTTTCGCTCTGGCTCTGACGACTCCGTCGTTTTCTGCTTCGACGCGCGCACGTTCACGAAGACCGGCTTTGACTGACCAATCAACTTCAAGAACGGCTCCTTGACGAGCATGCTGAGCAACATCTCGATCTTCTCCATGATGAACAACCCTTTCGCCTTGGCGATGCCGTAACCGCGCTTGAAAACCAGCGCCTTTTGGCTGAACTGCGGCAACCCGCTCGCGAGCGACGGATTCTTACTCAAGAACGTCTTTAGGAGCGACTCGTCGTGGCTCGCCCAGTCGACGTGCACCGGAAGCGTGAACAAGAAGTCCTCCGCGCTTGCGAGTTCCCACTCCTGCTGCGTCAGCAGCGTGAACTCAGCGTCGGCCATAAGCGCGCAAAACTCCCCGACGAAATCCACGCTCGCCGCCTCAAAATTCGTCGGCGTGAGCATCCCTTCCCCGTACCCAACGCTTCGTTCCTCACCCTTCACCACGTTCGCCAGATCGAAGTCTCGCTTGATTCGATCCCGTTTCGCCAGCGCTCCGTAATGAAATAGGCTTCGCACCATACGGATCACGTCTCCCACCGCCGCACGGTCGCTCTCCGGCACCATCTCCAGCGCAGCGTCGCGCAGGAAGCTCAGACCCACCGGAATGTGCGCGCTGTGCGCGATGCGCACGACGTTACCGTCGTCAGCGGTCGAATCATTCAGCGTCGAGGCCATGACTTTGGTGAATTCGCGATCGAACGCGTGTCACCGTCTCGCGCGCGCGTCGCGACGTAAAGCGCGAGGGTGTTTCGAACGTGTGCGAGTGCGGCGCGAGCGAAAGGCGCGAGCGCGGTGTAGTGTGGGGAGCCAAATGGGTTTCGACACGTGCGCGAGAGTGGTACCTAGTTGGATAATCCAACTTGGATGTGCCGTGACGGCATCGGACGTGTCGGCTAGGGGCTAGGAAATCATACTCACACGCGCTAGGTCAAGACGAGAGGATAAGAGATTACGTGCTCCGCTTGGCGACGTTTTTCAGACCCACGCCGACGCACGAGCAGAAGACGGTGCCGCTCTCGATCTCGGGTTGGACGTGGAAGACAACACCAAAGAAAGACTTGATGACTCGCAGGGTGTCTATGGCGCGCGGCGTGAGCTGGCCCAGACGCACGCGCGACACCTGTTCAGGGCCACAAGCCAAAAGTATCAAAGCAAGGGACTGGTGTGTGCTGTCGACGACGCCTCCGCGCTGGATCTCGGCGACGAGAGCCTCGGCGACGCGACGGCCAATGTCTTCGGGCACGCGCGCCTCGGCGTCGTCGCTCCAGTCCACACCCGAGGCCTCGTCCTTGGCAGACGAGCACGCGGTGGAGGCGCCGTCCGCGCCGAGCACGCATCCCGTAGTCGTCTCCGCGACGAGAGAGAGCCCGTACCCTGGACTCTTCCCCGCCTCAGGCCCGACGTGATGGTCCGTGAAAATGTACACGTCTGGAATGAACTTATTCAGCACCCCGCGCGCCGCGTCAACCATCCGATTCCCGTTCTGCGGCGAAACCTTACACGTGAACGTCACCCCACGCACCCGTTTCACCAACCCCTCGTCGCACCAATCCAGCGTCGGCAGCGTCTTCACTATAGGCAGTGTCAGCGTCACGCTCCCGCCGCCACCCGGCGGACACCCTCTCCGCGTCACCTCCAATCCCAACCCATCCTCCACCCCGAAGTGTTTCTTCAGCATCGGCAGCGTCACCGTCCTAAACACATCCACGCTCACGTCGGCGTCGTCGTTCGTCACTCCAGTCAGCGTCAACTCGATCGGTTTCTTCGCGAACAATCCGAGCGCGAGCGTCGGCTCGACGTAGTACCCGACCCCTCGACTCGCCGCGCACTCGTGCGTCAACCTTCGTCCACCGCGAACGACCCCGGGCTCAAACCTCAGAGACGTTCCGTCTTCGCCGATAACGATCTTCGTTCCGTTCGTCAGCTTATCGACGAGCCGGAGGAAGGAGATTTCGTAATCGCGCAAACCGACCGAGGCGGCGGCGGCGTCGGGACGCGAGGCGCTTCGCACGTCGCGAATGACGAGCGGTTTACCGCTGAGGACGGAACAGAGGACGCGAGCGCGGAAGTCCTTGGCGCCGGTGAATCGCACGACGTCCGAGGGCATTTTGAGGAGGGTGCGGGCGCCCAGATGTGCGGTGGTTTCGAGGAGCCCGAACGAAGCTCGAGCGAGCTCTCGCGCGGTGAACGAGACGTGGAGATTAAGGTGGGCGTCGCGAGCGATTGGAGACTCGGATGGGAGAACCGGTGGAGGAATAGATTTGAAAATGAATTGTTTACCGGTGCATCGAGTGTCGAGATCACATCGTGCCGAACGCGCGATCGCCAGCGTCGCCCAAACCGGGTACTATGTAGCCGTCATCGTTGAGGACTTCGTCGATCATCGCGGCGTACACGCGAAGTCCCGGGTACCGCTCGCTGAGCTGTGTCAGCGCCACAGGACTGGCAACGACGCATATGATTCGGATATTTTTCGGTGACGCGCCTCTGGAGACCATTTCGTCTATGGCGGCGACGATGGTTCCGCCCGTCGCCAGCATCGGGTCGCTCACCAAAATCTGCGAGTCCTCCGCGAACTGCTTCGGGAGCTTGTTCAGGTACAGTTTCGGCTGCAGCGTCTCCTCGTCCCGAACGTACCCCAAGTGATACGTCACGGAGCTCGGCAACACGCTCGCGCTCTCCTCCAACAGGGTCAACCCGGCGCGCAAAATTGGCACTACACACACCGGCTTTTCCGGGTTCACGTATTCCACGTCCGCGATCGCCAGCGGTCCCTGTACTTGCGCCTCGAACGTTTGCAGCCAATCTCTACCGCATTCATAGATCAAAATCCTCCCGATCTCCGCCATCGCCGCTCGGAAGATCGGCGGCGGCGTCTGCACGTTTCGCGCCACGGCGAGCCAGTGCTTTAACAACGGGTGCGGCGGGACGAGCACTAACATCTGATTCGGGTTCGGTTGCGCCCTGGGCGGTCCCTCCGACGCATCCGCGCGCGTTTTCACCCCCGCGCGTCGCATATTTCCACTCACACGCGTCGTCGTCACCTTGGTCGTCGTCTCGGTCGTCATCGTCCCTCTCCGACCTCGCGTCGCCCCTTCGCGCGCGCCTCGACCACTCACCGTCACGAACATCGATGCCATCGTCGACATCATTCGTTTCACCACGCTCGCTCGCGCGCGCGCGTCGCTCTGCGGCAGCGACGCGGGTCGAGCTCGTCGCAAATCCATCGTCAAAACAAAACTTGTGTGTTTTTCCTTCACACGCGTAGGGTTCATACTGTGCACCAGTCACGACTCGAAAATAGTCCCTCGGGTGCCGAAGGCTGACACATCTCTCGATCGGATACGATCGCCTCGTCCCATCGCCGTCTCACTGCGCCCCGTTCGACGCTCGATCGTCGACGAAACGGAGGGCGATGATGCTCGCGAGAGGATGTCTGCGCACGTCGACGCGCGCGACCGCGACGCGCGCGACGATGAAGGGTGCGAAGGCGCGAACGATGACGATGACGTCGAAGCGAAGCGTCGCGATGAAGGCGTCGGAATCGAACGACGAGGGGGCGAAACGCGCGGCGTTGGCCGCCATGGTCGCCGCGTCGGTGCTTATGACGAGTGCGGTGATGCCGGAGGAGGCGGAGGCGGCGAGGAGCGGTGGACGGGTCGGGGGCGGATCGTTCCGGGCGTCGAGCCGGGCGTCGCCGCGGATGAGCGCGCAGAGTCGAACGGCGCCGCCGCTCGTGGGCGGAGGGTACGGGTACGGGTATAACTCGGTGTTCATGCCGATGCCGATCATGCCAATGTACGGATTCGGGTTCGGGTTCGGGGGACTCGGATTCTTCTTCAACGTGATGCTCTTCTTCTTCGTGCTCAACACCGTGTTGGGTTTCGTGTCGCAGCTGCAGGAAGGGGCTAACCGACGGAACCCGTACGACGACGACGAGGAGAGTGATGACGAGTTCGACGGCTGGAATCGACGGCGTTGAGTTCACCAATCGGGTGAGGACGACGAGTGTGCGCGCACAATATCACTCGAACAGTCCACGCTGTGTTTACTATCATCTACGGATTATCAATACAAATTTACACTATTAGTTTTAAACCTTCCTCTCAGTGCCAAGCCATCCACCAGATGTACATCGCACCTAGGTTGGACAACGACACGGCCTCTTCGATCAGACGACGGGCTTGGCCCTGCGGCGAGAGCGGGAGTGAAGGCGCCGCGCCGACGCCAACAACCACGCCTTCGAGTCGCGAACGAATCTTCTCCAACGCGTCCTTACCGCGCGTGGACGACGACGTATGACGTCCGCGCGCCGAATCACGACTTGAACTCCTCGTCCACTCGACCAAAGGATCATGCACGAACGTTTCGAGGACGCTCATGAGCGCCTCTCGATGCGAGCGCAGGACGGTGAGAGTGATCTCGCATACGCGCATGAAAACGCCTTCGTAGCCGCCGACGCCAAGTCCATCGACCAAGTTCTGCGTCAGCCTGAAAGGAACGCGCTCGGGAAGTTCCAGTTCTAAGCCCTTGTCGAATAAACACGCGAAATCGACGTGCACGGCATCGCCAGTTTTGCAATCAAACAAAATGTTTTCTCCATGTCGATCGCCCAAGCCGACGACATGACCGACCATGCTCCACACCGCCGTGGTGTGCGCGAACGCGGTGCGAGCAGCAAACCAGGCGGCCGGTTCTTTCCATCGTTCCAGGAACCAGCGATGGAAGACCGGTGGATGTCGACTCAGAATCTCCTTGGCCCACGACGTCGGGTTGCGGCCCTTGCACTGCTCGTACAGATCCTTGATCTCTTGGTTTGAGGTTTTGGTGAACAATCCATCGTCAGCGTAGAGCTTCTGGATGATGTGCCTCAAACCGTAGGTGTGTGGTACCCACTCGATGATCCCACAGTCCTCAGTGAGAGGGATAACGCTGAATGTTCTGAGATACAGTCTGCGCTTGCGGCTCTCCGCATCTCTCGCGAGCAGTCTATTCAGCATCGTAGTGAACTCCATCATCCGCAAATCCTTCCGCAGATCGTCCTTGGGTTTGCATAAGAACGCGTGGTCCTCGCGATCACTCCCGATCATAGTCAGTTTCTTCGGTCGCTGAAGCGAAGCGAGCACTTGAACAGAATCTTGCAGTTCAAACAGCGTCGGCACCGATGGCGGAAACGGTCGGTGATCCGCCGGGTTTGTCCCCGACGGCGGGAGAGTCGCCGTGAGTGAGCGTTGAACCGGGATCATAATCCGAGTAGGCATCAGTGATGCGAGGTCTGGGAATGTTTGCAGCAAGCTGAACGCCTTCGGAGGTCGACCGCTCTTTGAACTCGTCTTTGGTGCATAATTGCACAGTTTCACCAGGTGATCAGCGACAATTGCGAACTCTTGCAGGAGCTCTCTGTCTGCGCGCATACCGGTTCTGTCCTGTTTCCCATGTTTCGCGTTCGTCAGCACATCCCTCGCACTCTTTGCACGAACTGGGTCGCGAGAGCGGGACATGGGGACGAGCGCCCACAAGACTTGGTCTGAATAATTAATGAGGAGTCGAGTAACGAGCGTCTGCACAAGCTCTCTCACTTTTCGACTGTTGTGCGCCAATCTCGACGTGAGCTGGGGCAACGCGGTGAGCCACTTGTACAGCGGGAGCTGATCTGAGAACGTGTTTATGGCGTAAAGAACTTCAGTGAATACCTTGTTGAGCTTTGCGGCGTTTCGAGTGTCGACGTTGTCCATGTTCTCCATCTCATACACTCGATCGCCAATGTCGAACCAAAGCGTTAGCATGCGAGGCAGCGACTCGTAAATGTGTCTGTGCCCGTATTTGATGCTCGCGCCGTATTCGCGCACCGTCTCGCTTAGGAGATCGATCGCTTCCTCATCATCGTCACCAATACCCTTGCGCCGCACGGACGCGGGTAGATTGGCGCCAATTTCACCGTTGAGTTCTCTCTTCGCCGCATCCTTCATCCACTCATCCATGTAGCGTGCAACATGAAAGTGCGACTTCTCCCAACTCTTATAATCTCGAATGACGTTGGAGTACAAGGTAAGGATCTCTTTCTTCTGTTTCTGACCGGTCACGGTAGCCCAGCGCGCTAAACGCAGTACGGCTTTCGCGGCGTGTTCAGGATGCGCCGTGACTGCGTCGGTATCTTTCAGCGCTTCTTCAATTTCAAGCACGGCCCGCTGAGGGCTCTCCGCTGCCCATAGAAGTTTAGCCTGTTCCAAGGCGAGGGGCAGCGACATACCGGTCTCCGATCGCGCCTCGAACAGTGCCAGTTGAGCGGCTCCATAGTGCCCGGCGCTTCTCGCAACCTTCGCTTGTTGTAACCATGTCTGTGAAGCGGCGGACTTGGCGCCGAGCAATTTGTAGATGGTGCGACGAAAAGCTAAGATCGGTTCGCGTGTGGCCATGTTCGGAGGAGTTCGCTCCAGACGATCGCCCCAAAACGCCAATTCCTTTAGCGCGCACACGGGGATGCCTGAGGATCTATCTGTTGGCACGTGTGATTTGGACGCGGCGGCCTCCTTGCGCGCTTCTTGCGTGAGAAGCACGGCTTCGTATGCTGATTCGGCTTCATGAAGAAGATGCAACTGCACCAGCGCTGCGTGTGATCGGAGATAGCTTCCTTCCATCGATGCCGCTCGAAGTGGCGTGATGAGTGCGTCTCTCGCGGAAGCGCACGCTAAGTTGAACGCCTGACTGTCATTCTTCTGCATTGCGAGAAGCACACGTCCGATGGCAGCGTCCGCGCTCAATTGAGGTACATCAGCGTTCATTTGAAGCCCGATGCTGGTGGTCAATGGCATTCCACTTGGTGTCAGCGCCGACGGCGCGACGTTTAACTGTCTGTACGAGCGTTTCAAGCTACCGCCGAGGTGCGTTGAATTTTCAGAATCGATCTTACTCAATAGCGAGTCCAAATCGTCCCATTGACCGAGTCTCCAAGCCGCCGCCGCGCCGGCCTCAGCCAAGCTCGTCGGTGCATCGGGACGAGTGCGAATGAGATTTTCAACTTCGCGCTTGACGGCTCGAAGATGTCCAAGCCCTTGTAAGCACCGCAAGCGACCCCACTCGGCGACGGAGATACCGAGATTGTGCACCGAATCCTCACCACGTTGCATGGCGCTTTCGTAATGAACCAACGCTTGCTCCCACTCGCCTGCCTCTTCGTGCTGCAGAAGTTGATCTTCGGGCTGTGGCGTGGCGCGCAGACGCGGTATCGATGTGAGCGCATCCGATTCGGCCAGGCCTTGATACACAGTTGCCAAAAAGCTCACGTCGTTGTCCATGATGTCCTGCTGCTTGACGCATGTTGCCTGGTTCAGGACCATCCTGTTCGATCTCAGATAGTCCTCAAAGTACATCAGGGATCGAGCGCTGGCGCCGCACCGCTGCGCAGCTTTGGCGAGTAACGTGTACGACAAATCTTCCAGTAAGCAGTGCACGACTTCGGCGCTCTTTGGATCGTGCTGCGCATTTGCGTCACCCCATCTCTTGAGTCGATCAAGAAGCGAGAAAATCGTCTGCGCCGCGAGTTCGGTACGTCCTTGGGATGCACCTGATCCAGTCAAGTTGTAGTCTTCGCCCGTCGCATCACTTCCGGCTGCGTCGTTGAGTACCGCCACGATTTCTACGTACACTTCATCTTTACGCGCCTCATTACACAGAATCGCATCAAGCACCATATACGGTAACAGAAAGAGGGCAATGCGAATATCGTGACGGAACACACTCATGGTCGCCTTAAAAAGCGGTGCGTTTGGACCCGATGCCTCCAGCGCCAATGCCCGACACCACTGCACGATCCATTTGTTGTAGGTCGTACCCGATGCTGGGCTGCCGTACAAAGGTCGCTGCTTCACATTGGATTCCTTGCTCAGGCCACCGATGAGATACATGGACGTCAGGCACGGAGCGAGAACGACGCGTGCTTCCTCCGGGAGCGAGTCCCAAAACTCAATGCCTTCAGGAGTGTGACCCTTCGGTAGATCAAGACCGACTGCATCATCCTCGTCCACTTGATCTGGACGACAGCCAACATGGATGAGAACACACTGTACAGCGTACGCCGCAGCATCCAACATCTCCGAATCGTTCGCCCCTCGCACTGTTCTGGCAAGATGATCCACGAGTAGACTACTTGCCACCGTCGCTGAATCGCTGTGAAGCGGTTGCACGGATTGGGTTTCGATCAACAATCGACCGGGATCCACAGCACCAAGTTCGCTCAGGCAGCTTGCTGCGGCTCGTTGCACTCGTCGTGAAGCCTCGCTCGATCCTTCACCCTCACAGCACTTCAAGAGAGCCGAGACGAGCGCGCTCATTGTCGTATCTGCCGCGGACCCTTCAAAACCCTGAATGAGCTCTTGGATTTCGTTCCCATTCTCTGGACTCTTCAAACGACGTCGTATTTCGGCTAGAGCAGTCGCGCGAACTGCGAGGGACTCATCCGCCAAGCTTTCTGTCAAACTGGCGAGAAGTTGGCGAAGCGAGACACGACCTCGCTCTTGGGCTATTCGTGCGTTCGCATTCTGCAGACGTGGAACGGTTGGCAACATCGGTAACCTATCCAGATGACCTCGCATAACGTCACCCCTGCGTAAAACAAGCTCGTCTATCACAGCGGCGGCTTGACTCGCATCTTCCAGGGCCCTTGCTTGCGCGACCTTGTCCGAAGTGCCGTCGTCATCTTTGTGCGCCATGTCGGCATCCAAGTACGGCAACATGGCTACGACTATTTGTCCAGCGGCTCGCTGCAAGTGTTCCGGTCGCTCTGATAAGACTTGTACCAAGATTCTCCAACTTTGCAAAGCCGTTCGTCGGAGCTCTTGGTTGTTCAGTGCGTGTGCAAGGTGTGCCATGACCTTAGGCGCAAACTGCGGCAAGTGCTTGCCGATTATCGAAACCATGATAGTGAGGGAACGGATGTACCGTTTGTGCGACAGCATGTCTCCATTTTTATCGTATAGAACCATCTCCATGCGGGTAAAGTGCGGTCGGAAAAAGTCGCTCACCTCTTGAGCATCTGACTGCGCCGCATCGGCAAGATTCTTGAACACGGTCAACATCGTTGCCGCGGTGTTGATCATGTCTTCCTGCTCATCCTTCATCATCGCCCCCGCACGCGTGATCAACGCCTTCATGATGAACACTTTTTGCTTTGAAATGAGACTCAAGAGATCGTCATGGCTATGTTTCTGTAAGAACATTTTGACTGACTGACTTTCTTGCTCGCTCAGAGGTTTTACAGTCCTTGGATTGATGAGCTCTGCGATCGCTTCGTAGCTGTATTCGCTCACAATCTGGTGCAAGTTCTTGTTCAAAAGTCTCGCGTACGCCTCCAAGATGGATACGTCGTCACCATTTCCACCGGCACCGCTGATTGCGTTTCGTATCAGTCGCATCATGGACAGCGGTAGGATTTCTTCGATCAGCTGGCGTGGCGACATTTTAGCCAACTCAGCGAGCGTAGAAATAGCGTGCTCGTGTGTCGGAAGACGACAGCCAATCTCAGAGGCGACGTCTTGCGTCCCGAGGAGTAACTCTCTCGTGCGGACATGCTTTTTCTTCGCCAGACGACGGAGCAAATAAATCGCACAGTTCTGCGCCGTCAGATCCATGTCAATAATATTCTTGAAGTACACCATGACAGCGGCTGATCGAGCGCTAGGAATTTTCAGATTCTCCGCGACTGCGGCAAACGTACGAAGAGTCGACTCCTTGATGAAGGAATCGGGCGCGCTGTCTATGCTCTCCTTCAAGTTACGAAGAATTTGAACACCGATTGTGAGTTGTGCGTTCTCCACGGCTTGTTCGTACTGAACCGCGGCGCTGCTGCTTCTTCTACGCTCTTCCGTTTTCTCGTTCTTCGCCGGCGCCATCTCGAGTAAGATTTCATCCGCCACCATCGCTGGCGCAGCCTCATACAAAGCCTCGCGGACTCGGGACGACTTATGGTGAGCCGTTTTCAAAGCCGCTTGTGCGAGCGTCCACGCACCGCTCAGTGTATCCCCGTTCTCAGTGAAATCGCCAGCGGCGCTGAATAGCTCAAATGAATATCGAAGAGAACGCAGCCCGCTTGACGCAACTAATCCGTCTGTGTCACGTTCATCCAAGATGGCGCCTTCAAGTTGTCCAGCGCTGTTCAAGTCTTGCAACGTCAGAGCGGCGTTTAGCACCGATGGCGTTACATCATGCGTCCGCTTGTTCGAGCGAGGGGTACCCCCCGTGAGACGACGTCTGTTCTTGTTGAATGGACCTGGCGTCTGCGGTAATCCGGGAGCGATGGTACTCCCATCGACCGCGTTTACGGCCTTCATAACCTCTCGTCGTACGACTTCATGGAACGATTTCATGGAACGCATGAGCTGTTGCATTGCTGCCTTCGCCTCGTCGCTCCCTAGTTCGTGCGTGCACGACTTGAACGCCGCGGTCACCGCGGTGTTTCCGTGCAATCGAGCGGCCCTTCGAATCGCGTCGTTCCCGGCGGCCTTCTTGATTCCATGGAGAACACCGGCGGCGGCCAGACCTGCGAGCGCTGTCGCGAAAGCGTTTCGCACTGGCATTTCGCTTGCATCCTTCAACGCGCTTAGTCGTTGCAGCGCTCCGATGCCGGAGGGAGGCGATGATGCGAGTACATGCACAAAGGGCAGCGCAATCGCGGCGGCCGAGCGAACGCCCGCGTCCCGATCAGAAAACGCTCTTGTGAGAACTTGTCGAGCTGCTTCAGAGCTCACCTTTTCCCCAGACAGTTCCAACGACGCCAAGGATACGGCGAGATTGAGAGCGGCAAGTTTCGCTGTTCGATCACCATCGATGGTCATCGCGTCCACGACTGCATTTTGATCCCGTCGCGCTATCGAGGTCCACGGCCACGTGAGAACGTCGAGCGAAATGTCTTTAGCACTGAGTAACGGCGGGATCCTGTGCTCCTTGTCTCCCTTCACGTTTACTAAACAGTTAGCCGCCGCGGCCAATAGCGCGTACATTGCGGTTGTCGGTGCTTTAGATGCGTCGTCGCTGTATCCGCGAATCCACCCGAGCCACTTGTACGTGACTTGTGCTGCGATGCGTTTCATGCGCAGCGAGCCGTCGGAGGCTGCGATGGAACGCACGATGACGGAAATCGCGATCACGCGTTGGTAGTCGCTCGGTGCACCGACGCGCAGCATTTCATCAAAGTCCATAGAGTCTGCGCGTTCCAACTGTCTCGCTCCCTCGTCCCTTTTCATCGAGGAATCCGGACCGCCTAGAAACTCTAATGCCGCCACAACGCAACTCTCTATCCACTCCATTCGAGCCTTGTAATCGAAATTCACGGTGGGCTGTTCCTCGCCCTCGCCCTCGTTCAATCGCGATCGTTTCTCACTCTCCATCTCGCCCTCGCTGTCTTGCTCCTTTATGTTTGAAAACGCCATGGCCAAGCATTCTATCAATGCGTCCGAGCCCTCTGCAGCCACGGCGTGCGGCAGCAGCGCCATGGCTTGAATCGCTAACGATGGCCTCATCGACAAACACGTTCGAAGCACGTCGAAGAGTGCCGCGCGAATGGACTCGTCCCTCGCCGCGTCGATCGCGCTCAATATAGATGTCACTAACACGTTTACGTGCTTGCGAAATACATCCTCGCCTGCAAGCTCCTTGAGCACGTAAACCAACTCTATGACGACTTTATCGTCAATCTTCAGCGGACGCTCCGTCAAAACGCTCGCAACGGAAGCTAAGATGGTATCGCACGGCACGATCACGATAGGTATATCCGATATGATGACTTTGAGCGCGGATGCCGCCGCAAGCTGCACTTCGCGAGAGCTGATCACGAGCAAACGCGAGAGCGAGAACAAGAGCTCGCTCGTCATCAACGGCGTGACGTTTTGCGGATTTGTCGCCAGCGCGCACTCCAAAAGTTTGCACGCAGTGATGGTGATGTTGATCGCACACTCTAAACTCTGTACCTCGATCATCAATCCGGTGCTCGTGGACGGCGCGGACGGCGCGGATGGCACGGTCGACGTTGTCGCCGACGCGTCCACCGTCCGTCCTGAAGACGCCGACTCCTCCGAGCGCTTCACGTGCGCCATCGCGTCGTCGAAACAACACAGCACCACCGTTCCCTTGTTCAGCGCCGCAGCTGCGTCGTCGTCGTACTCGTGCTCCTCGTCCACCTCTCCGCCTCTTCCTCCGCGCGCAAATAACTCCAGCGTCTTCTTCGCATCGCTCGCCAGCTCCACGCACCCTTTACACAGTTCGTGCATCGCTCGTCCATCGCTCTTTGACGCCGCGCTCAATAACCCGAACATCACCGCTCGCGCGCTCTCCCGAGTCTTCCCGCACGCGTCCGCGCTCGCGCTCAGCGCAAAGACGCTCGCGAACACTCGCGCCGCACTCGTCCCACCCCCCGGCTCAAACACCCCCGGATGCCGTCGCAAAGCCTGTCTCAACAGCGCGAGCACCTGCGTCGCCTCCTCGCTCGCATTCCCGTTCGATCCACCTCTCGGTCGGAGCAACGCGAGCATGTTTGGCAGTTGCACCTTTAGATTTTTTCCCAAATCCTCATCATCATCGCCACGTCCCGTCGTCGTCGCGCCATCGTTCGCGCTCGGACGACGCGGACGCAGCGCCCGTAATACACTCTCGAGCGTGATCGGTCCGCCGTGCGACGCCGTCATCACCACGCGCGACGGTGTGCAGATGACACAGATTCGATCGCGCAGCTGTTGAGCCGAGATTTAAAAAAAAAATGTCAAACCATCCACCGATTCGCCCTCTCCGTCCCGTGCGCGTCACTCCCCCGCGTCCGCGCGCGCGATGCCGGCACCGAGTAACGCGTACGATGTGCCCGCTCTGCGCGCCCTCAGGGGCTTCACCGCGTCCTCGGCGAGCGAGAAAACGAATAAAGTGGAGCTCAGCGCTCGAGGCGCCGCCATGATGCCAATCGTCAAGGGGGTCTCGGGATCGTTCGGTGGCATCATCGAGGTGCGCGCGTGGACCGCGTCGCGGTCTGTGCAAATGCAACGGTCGATCGACGGCGCGTGCGCGTGATTCGGAGGGGTCGGGTGACGACGCGGATGACGCGCGGGGCGGTCGGCGCGCGCGAGGGCGAACGCGCCGGGACGGGAGAAGGACGAGTGGGAGGGTCGATCGAGTGAAGGGTGATTCGACGTGAACGCGAGGACTAATTCTTTTGTTAACGCGCGTTTCTAAAATCGTAGGCGTGCTGCTTACAGCCCGTGGACGTGGTGAAGACGCGTTTGCAGTTGGATAAAACGGGTCAGTACAAGGGCGTGGTGGACTGCTTTCGGAAGATTCACGCCGAGGAAGGATTGGGAGCTTTATGGAAGGGCTTGAACGCGTTCGCGACGCATTTGTGCTTCAAGTACATGCTTCGAATGGGGACGAACGCGACGTATCAGGCGGCGCTGAGGGATGAAAATGGAGAACTCAGCACGGGGAGGCGAATGTTGGCGGGTTTCGGCGCAGGCGTCACCGAGGCGCTCGTAATCGTGACCCCGTTCGAGGTAGTAAAGATTCGATTGCAGCAGCAAAAGGGGTTGGCGATGGATCAGTTGAAGTACAAGGGCACCGTGCACTGTGCGCAGACGATCATTAAGGAGGAGGGTGTGCGAGCGCTGTGGAACGGCGCGGGGCCGACAATCGCGAGAAACGGAACCAACCAAATGTGCTTGTTCACCGCTAAGGCGCAAGTTGACAGATTTTTGTGGGACAAGCACGATGGCGATGGGAAGATGTTACATCCGGTACAGTCGATGATCTCTGGTGGGTTAGCGGCGACGTTTGGTCCGGTCGCCACTGGGCCGTTTGACGTCGCTAAGACTCGTCTCATGGCGCAGAGCAAGGCGGGCGGAGTCAAGTACAAGAGCTTCATGCACGCGTTGTATCTCATCCCCAAAGAAGAGGGCATCCTCGCGATGTGGAAGGGGCTGCTCCCGCGTTTGATGCGCATCCCTCCGGGGCAAGCCGTCACTTTCATGGTAGCAGACGCGATCGTGCACCAGTGGGAGGCGAGAAATCTCAAAAAGGAGGACGAGTAGAGCAAGAGGGAGCAAACCGACGACCTCGGGCGGGCTAATTCCCCCGAATCCGTCATCATCGTTGGTAGTATTTATCTCTATTAATAATTAACCGAACCATTCTAGCCACTAAACGTGCGTCTCCGATTCCCGTCCGCGCATTCAGACGTCTTCGCGGATAAACCGCCTGGGCCAACCCTCACATTCTCACGTGCGTGATGTCTACCAGGCTCACCGCGTTCGCCCGCGTCGCCGCCCGCGCGTCACCGCAGCCGCTACCAATGCCGTCGTCCGCTCGGCGCGTGGCGTGCGTCGCCCGTGCGTGCGCGAGACGCATCCAACCGTCGACTGCAAGAAATTCTTATTGGTTACGTGGACACTCGCGTCGACGGCACCCGCCCGTGCTACACGCGCGCGCGCACGCGGTGATCACGTCGAGTGAAACCGCGACCGACGCCCCGAGCTCTTATTCGCGGTCGCCGTCGAAGAGCGTGCTGTTTGCGATCGAAGGCATGCGGTGCGGCGGATGCAGCGCGGCGGTACAAAAGACGCTCGACGGAAGACCAGACGTGGAGCGAGCGGCGGTAAATTTAGTGACGGAGACGGCGGCGGTGAGGTTCGTGACGACAAATGATGATGAATTGAGCGATATCGTAGCGTCGGTGACAGCGGAGGTTGGGAAGAAGGGTTTCACAATGACGCGGAGAGATGTGGGACGGGCGGCGGAGGCGGCGGCGAGAGACGCGGCGCTTAGAAAGGACGAAGAGATGGAGCGGACGAAGTGGGATCTGTACAAGGCGTGGGGGCTCACGGTGGCGTGTTTAGGGACGCACATGACCCATCACTTGCACGCGCTGGGCTTGCACGAGTACGCGCACACGGAGGTCTTGAACACGTTGGCGCAACCGTGGATAGGCGCGGCGCTCGCGGCGGGCGCATTGTTGGGACCGGGGCGAAACATCCTCTCCGAGGGAGCGAAGGCTTTGGCGAACGGGGCGCCGAACATGAATTCGCTCGTGGGCGTTGGTTCGCTCGCCGCGTTCGGGCTCTCCATCGCCGGCGCAGTGAATCCACAGTTGAACGAGTACGGGCAGTGGACAAATGACTTCTTCGAGGAGCCGGTGCTCTTGATGGCGTTCATCTTGCTCGGTCGCGCGCTCGAAGGACGCGCACGAGCGCGTGCGAGCGAGGATTTGCGATCATTGAGCTCGTTACTGCCGTTGGACGCCCGCATTGTCGTTCCGGAGCGAATGAGCGGTGAGAACGAGGATCCAGCGGATCATGGCGTGCAGATCACTGTGGACCGCGCGGCGGTGAAACCGGGAGATTTAGTGCGCGTGAATCCGGGTGAGATCATTCCTGTCGACGGCGTCGTGGTCGCGGGTAACGCTGGGGTGGACGAGGCCACGCTCACGGGTGAGCCTGTGCTCGTATACAAGACGCGAGGGAGTAAAGTGAGCGCCGGCACAGGCGTGTTCGAGGGACCGCTCACCGTCGAGGCGACGAGTGCGGGCGACGCGTCTATCGTTGCCGGAATCACGAAAACAATCGAAGAAGCGCAAGGACGCGCGGCGCCAGTGCAGAGACTCGCAGACGCCATTGCTGGGCCGTTCGTGTTCGGTGTCATGGGCATCAGCGTGGCGACATTTGGTTTTTGGACGCTCGCGGGCGACGCTCTCTTTCCAGGCGCGCTCATGGAGGCTGGGTCCTTCGGTTCGGCGCCGTGGATGGGTCCGCTGAAATTAGCGACGGATGTCCTTGTCGTGGCGTGTCCATGCGCGTTAGGTTTAGCGACGCCGACGGCTGTGCTCGTGGCAACGTCCTTGGGCGCGCGAAACGGAGTGTTGCTCCGAGGAGGCGACGTCTTGGAGACCATCGCAGGCGTAGACGCGGTGGTTTTGGATAAGACGGGAACCATCACTCGCGGACAGCCAAAGTTGCGGTCCGTGTACGCGGTTGATGACGTCAAAGAGTGGGATGTGTTGAGCATCGCGGCTGCAGTGGAGGCGACGACGACGCATCCGCTCGCGAAGGCGGTCACGCGAGCGGCTGATTTGCGCTTCGAATCAGAGAACTTGTCTCCGATTCCGCGAGCGACGTCGTCAGAGACAGAAGCCGGACTCGGAGCCAGCGCGACGGTGAACGGTGAACGGGTATTCGTCGGTGCACCGGCGTGGGTGGATGAAAAAGTCGCCGGCGTTGGCGCCTCCAGCGACGCATTCACCTCTGCTCGCGCAGACGGCGAGACCTGCTCGCTCGTCGCCGTTGGTGTGGAGGGACGGGGTGTGGTTGGAATGTTAACAGTGGTGGATGAGATTCGCGGGGAGGCGGCGGAGACGATTCAGCGCTTAAAGGCGTCCGGAATCAGCGTGCATATTCTTTCAGGCGACAGACAATCTGTCGTGAACGCCGTGGCGAGGGAACTCAGCTTGGGCGAAGACAGCATGACGCTTGGCGGCATGCTTCCGGCAGACAAGGCGTCTGAGATCAGCAAACTTCGTGCCAAGGGGTTAAAGGTGGCCATGGTTGGTGACGGCATCAACGACGCCCCGGCTCTGGTGACCGCCGACGTCGGCATCGCTATGTCTCGCGGCATGGAGGCCACCGGCAACGCCGCCGGCGTCATCCTCCTCGACGATAACCTCTCCCAAGTCGCGGACGCGGCGCAGCTTGGAAAGAATGCCCTCGGTAAGATTCGTCAGAATCTCGCCTGGGCACTCGCCTACAACGCCGTCGGTATCCCGCTCGCCGCCGGCGCGCTCCTCCCGCACTACGGCTTCACCCTCAACCCGAGCGCCGCCGGCGCCATGATGGCCGTCTCATCCGTCGCCGTCGTCACCAACTCCCTCTCACTTCGCGGTCCGGACGCTTGGAAATCCTTCACCGACGCCTCGAACGTCCGAAATCGCGGTCGATCCCCGACGACCGAGCCCGCAAAGTAAACTTTTAATCGATAGTTCATCTAGTCAGCCAACCTCGTTCCCCCGAGACCTGAATCGACGCCAACCTAAACACCACACTTCCCGAACGCCCCCGCCTCGCGCGCGCTCGCACGCGCGCACGCGCGACACACCACGTCTTAAATGTGTCCGTCTCCCGCGTCGGTGCCCGCGCGTGACGCCGCGTTGGTGTCCGGCGGTGGAGACGTTTCATCTTCACCGTGGCGGTTAGGATTTCCCGACGATGAAAAATCGCGTGATTTCTGGACGTCGCTCCGCGCGTCGGACGCGCGATTAACGAGAAAGTGGGAAAATTTTACCGCCTCGGGACGAGACGTTGGGAGACGCGGGGAGCTGACGCGGGCGTTCGCGAGACAGAACGGTCTGGGAGGGGATGGACGAAGAGCGCTGTGGGTCCAGTGGAGCGGGGCGCGGACGAAGCGCGCACGAGACGGCGACGGTGGGTACGGAGGACGGCTCGAGCGCTCGAATGAGGTAGAGAACGGTGGTGACGTACGGGAGTGCTTCGAGCAGATCGATCTGGATCTACCGCGAACGTTTCCCGAACATGAAAGGTTTCGCGAGCCGAACGGAGACGCGCTGGCGCCGCTGCGCAGGATTTTGAGAGCGTTCGCGATGGATAAGGGGGCGAGCGGGTACGTGCAAGGGATGAATTACCTAGCTGGATTTTTCTTGATGGTGTACGGTGTCGACGCGGCGGGAGAGGAGGATGCGTACTGGACGCTTCGATGCGTCGTGGAGGATTTGTTTCCTGGATACTTTGAGCCAGGGCTCAAGGCGTTGCGAGCAGACTTAGACGAGCTCGATCGACGGTACTCAATAGTGTCTCCCGAAGCGCACGCAAAGCTAGAGTCAATGGGATTGCCGGTGAAATATTTCACAGCGCGCTGGTTGATGTGTGGATTAATTGGGTGCGCTGCGACACCGACAGTTTTGCGTGTATGGGACCTCGTCTTCGTCGATAGCGACAAGCAGCCGCGCGAGACGTTAATGCGGTGTTCTCTCGCCATGCTCGCTCTGCAAGCACCATTTATGTGCGCAGCGGAAGACATGAACTCATGTGTGGCGTGCATTCGAGAGGCGGGGTGGATGGTTGACAACATCGACGCCTACCTCCATCGCGTGTCGGCACTTCGAGAGCAAACATTTCCGATAACGTCTCGGAATCGGACGGCCGCGACGCCGTCGAGAAAGCGACGATATGAACCGCCTCCAACACCGGCGAGAGCGGCGATGACACCTGTCGGGAACACGATTTACGCCTCGCTTGTGTCCTTCTTCTCTCCGACGCCAAGCAAACAAAGCGTGCCAGCTCCGGCATCGACGCGCACCACGGGAATGGCACCGAAGAGGCTGTGGAGTTTCGAAGATAAACCACTCCGCAAAACACCTCCAACGAGCGGATTCAGACGCATAGATGATGAAAATGGCGCTGAGACGGACGAGATCGAGATGTCAACACCGAAACGCAAGCGCGTCAAGGAGTCGTCGAACGCGTACGCTACGAGCCCACTGTTCGCTAAATCTCCTCTCGGGGTGAAAAAGAAACGGACGCCCATGAAGTCTCCGAGGAAATCGCCGCTGTCGGTCCGATTGTAATGGTACTAGCGTTTCGCCGAATCCTACAACAAACAAATCCTACTAGGTAAATCCAATCATCATTGACCAAGCGAGATGTGCTGCAACATCCTGAGCAGCTCTTGGCTGCTGATGACGTTGGCGCCCATGCCGGAGTCCATGAAAACAGGCGACTTCTGCGGCTTTGGTCCACAAAGTCCGCCAGCCTGTTCGTTGTTGAGGTTCGCCAACGGGCTATCCTCACCGTCAATGGCGGCTCGCCACGTTGCATCCTCCTGCAACGTCGTCCGCACGCTCTGGCGCTCGACGTCATCGCAAGTTTCGAGCTCGTGCAGAGCGTTGGCGAGAATAATCACGCTCCCGACGTTACCGTCTCTCGTGGAGATGGGCTTCGTCGCGAGCGCCGTCTTCATGGACGCTGCCAGAGAGCCCTGAAGACTCTCGTCCCCGCCCTCAAACATGGGTGCCCAGAGCGGCTCGTGTGGGCTCACCAGCGCGGCCAAGATCAGTCTCACCACGGTCGCGTGCAGCGCCGAACTCCAAGAATACTTGAAAAACATGCGTACGAGCGACACGAGGACGAACTGACCGTCGTTCGGCAGCTTGAGCTTTGCGATGCGCTCGTCAATGTCTTGGCACCCGATTTGCAAGAGCACGGCGATGATCTCCGCCGCAGCGACGCGATGTGTGCCGATGGCCGGAATTGCGTGCCCACTTCGTTGCGTCACCGCATCTTCCGGCTCGAACGTCAGCGCAACGACCAGGGTTTCGACGGCGCCCATGACGTTTCGCACCAGCTCCACCGGAAACGTCTCGAGCGAGTTCCCCGGAACGCGTAAATCGTCCCTGTCCGTCAAATCCTCCAACAGCGCGTTGCTCAAAGTCCAAAGCAAGCTCCCAAGACGCGCCGCATCGAGCGGTTCCTTCCCGGAAGCGATGGATTCGATGAGCTCCACCGAGAGCGCCAGCACCTCCTCTCGAGAGATTTCCTCGCCCTCCTGCCCCTGCTCTTCCTCCTCCTCCTCCTCACCCGCCGCCCCGAGCTCCCACGACAACTCACCCATCCGCCTCATCCCTCCCGGCGGGCCATCGACGACGATCTCCTCTACTTCCTCCGTCTCTTCCTCCGCGCGTTCCTCCTAACATTGGGTGCGAGGTGCGAGCGCTGTTCTGGATCACCGTGTTCATCGCGGTGGTGAGTAAGCTCATCGAGACCGGCTCCTCACCCGTACCGATGGCCAACGGAATACCCACCTCCTTGAACTTTTCGTGAAGGGCGAGCGGAGAGTTGTACGTACTGACCGGGTCGGCGGCGCGCGCGGAGTTGCGGTAGTACTCAACCATGTGCGTCGCGATTTCGTCTAGAAAGCGAAGCTCCTTCTCCTCATCGTCGCGACTCCACAGACCGTGGTCTGCGTCTTCGTCGTCACTCGCCTCAGACTGGTCCTTTTTCCAAGCGACTTGGAAGTTCTTGACATCCGACAATGGCTGATTCAAATTCTTCGATTCGAGCCATTCGTCGTTGAAGATCTTTGACAAATACTTGACACCGCTGTCGCACAAAACCGTGACTATAACACCCTCCTTGATCTGGCTCGAGAGCACTCGAGCGGCGTGCAGGTTCAGACCGGAGCTACCGCCGAGCAAGATGCCCGAAGATTCGGCCACCATTCGGCAAATTCGGAATGAGCTCGCGTCGCAACCTTTCACGGCACCGTCGATGTATTCTGTCTGCAAAACACCCGGAATGGAGTCCTTGCCGACGCCCTCGACTTCCCAACTCTTCGCCACAAGATCCTCTTCGGGCACGTCATTGACGAAATAGTCCCACAAAACGCTACCCTTGGGATCAGCTAACATGATTTTGATCGTTGGATCTACGCTCTTCAAGTAGCGACCGGTACCAGTGATGGTGCCTCCTGTGGAACCGCCCGCGATGAAGTGCGTCACTGCCCCCTTGGTTTGCGACCAAATCTCGGGACCAAGAGTCTTCTCGTACGCATCCGCGTTGTACGGATTATCGTACTGATTTACGCCGTAATAGTTCGGGTTCTGCGCGCACATCGTCGTCTCGATGTTCTGATAATGATCCGGATGATCTGCCGGGACCCCACTCTCCGCGACGATGACTTGCCCCCCGTACGCCTTCATGGCGTCAATCTTCTCCTTACTCGTCTTCTTATTCGTGATCACGATGTAATCAAACCCACGAATCGCGCACGCCATCGCGATCGCCGCCCCGGTGTTCCCACTCGTTGCCGCCACGACCGTCATCCCGGGTTTCAACTCGCCCGTCTCCAGCGCCCGAGTCAAAATCTCCTGCGCAATCCGATCTTTAATGCTCCCACTCGGATTCATGTACTCGCACTTCCCATAGATCTTCACCTTTGGGTTCGCACTAAACTCACTAAGATCGATCATCGGCGTCCCACCGATGAGCTGCTGTGGCACCACCGCTCCGTTTGCGATTCGCGCGTGCGTCGACCGCCAGTGCTTCTCATCGTCCACCGTCTTCCCGTTCGTGAACATCGTCGGCAGCGCGTTCTCGAACTCCGGCATGTCCACCGGGTAATCTAAGTTCAGGAGCTCCTCCAGGTCGTCGGCGTCGCTGGAGATCGCTCTCGAGGGCGTCGTCGACGGACTCGAGCGACGCCTCTGTTGAATCAAACCCTGAAGACGACGTCTCGTCGGCGCCGCGCACGGCGCGCGCGGCGCCGTTCGAGCGAGCGCGCCGGTAGTGATCGGAAGTGACAGCACCGGCGCTCGCGTCGGCGATGTGAACGGCGCGGCGTACTGGGGAGGCGCGCACTGGCGACGGCGCGCTCTCGTGGAATGGGCGGGGACCCTCGGAAGATCGGGTGTATGTCCGCATATTGATTATTTTAAAAGTATTAGCGGTACGCGTGCGTATTGAGATTACATGAGCGCTATTTTTTTGTTTGAGCTCAGTGGGACTGATCTCACGTCCCGCCCGCAGCCTTTTGTTTCTTCCACGCGTACGCCGCCTCAAGAAGCTTGAGGTTCGGTTGCCCAGCTCCGGCGTCGTCGGGGAAGATGTAGTCGTAATACTCCTCCTGAGCGACCGTGCGGCCGTCATCGTCGGTGACGGCGCGCTTGCGCTTGACGCGCCGCGGGAACTTGGCTTTGACGTCGGCGGATTTGGAAAACTCAGAAGGAAGCGTGTCCTCGAACGATTTCCACGACTCGAGGAGCATCACGCGTTCTTCCTTGGCGTCAGGATCACTCTCCTTGATCTCGCCGAGCGCGCGCTCGTACACGGCGCGACTTTTCGCCTGGCGCGATTCGAGACGCTCGTTTTCATCTTGCTCCGCTGCCGCCGTCGCGAGCGCGATGGCTTCCTCGTCGGCATCGTCCTCGACGACGACGATTGGCGTCGCCTCGAAGCGCGCATAGGACATCCAAACCTTGACGTGCTTCGTGCGCTCGAGCAGTCTCTCGTACAAGGCGCGCGTGCGCTCGCGCTCTCCCTCGGAGGTCTCGAAGTCGATGTACGCCTTCCACAACACCTCCGGCATGTCTAACATGCTCTGACCCACGGCGAGCTCGAAAATCGCTCTCGCTCGTTCGACTTCTCCAAGCGAACGCTCAAGATCGGCGTACTTGATCCATGTCGAGCAGTTTTGAGGCTCGATCTCGAGGTGTTTCTCGTGAAGCGTTCGACATCTGTCGACATTTCCGAGCTGGAACTCGATGTCGATGTACGTCGCGAAGATCTTTTCCTTGGGTGCTAAACCTATTGCCAAGCCAAAAATCTTACGAGCGGCGTCGAGGCGCTTTTCTCGAAGCTCAAACTTGGCGGCCATGATCCAAATCTTCGAGAAGGAGAACTCGGCGTGCGGAATCACCTTGAGGCAGGCTCTGTACACCTCGCGCGTGCGCTCGGCATCTCGAGCCTCGAGTTCTTCGTATAGCGCGTAGTTGATCCACAGATAAATGTACCGCTGCCAAAATCGCTTCTCGTTCGCTGGAGGCACGTTCGCAATCGCTCGCTCGTACACCTCTCTCGTCTTTGCCACGTCGCCAGCACTCTCCTCCAACCTAATGTAATCGAACCACGTGTCGTAATTGAGCGAATTTTTCGACACCTCCTCCTCGTATTTAAAACGACGCTGGCTCACGACGACGTCTTCGATGCCATCACGATCGCCGTGCATCTTTTCAAACTTCATGAATTCCTTGTATACGACCTCCGCCTGTTCCTTCGGCAGATTGTCCAGGGCAAACTTGTAAATTGCCCGCGCACGCTCGACCTCATGACACATCTCCTCAAACTTGGCAAAGCTGGCGTAGATCTCCCCAACGTCCTTTTCGTTTCGCAAGAACTCCACCGCGGCCTCGTAAACCTCTCGCGCCTTTGTGCGATTCCCCGAGGAGAACTCAAACTTGGCCCAGCGCGTCCACGCCTTGACGTCCGGGTGCACCTGCACGTACCGCTGAAAAATATCCCTCACACGCTCCGTCTCCCCAAATCGCACTTCCATCTTCACATACGCGTGCCAAGCCGTGTGTTCGGGCTCCCATTTCATCCACTTCTCGAAAACCTGCCGCGCCGCCGCAACCTGCCCGAGCGCCTCCTCCATGTTCACGTACTTGTACCACAACGCGTCCACCCTCGGCAACGTCGCGCACGCCCGTTCCAGTACGTTCCGCGCGTGATTCACAGCCTTATTACGCATCTCCATCTCCGCGTAATTCAACCATATCGCCACCTCTCGCCCGTGATGCTCCAGCGCCCGCTCCCACACGCTTCTCGCGCGCGGGATGTCCCCTTGTCCCTCCTCCCATCGCGCGTACTTCGTCCACGACCGCGTCTCGTGATACGCCGATCGACACCGATCCTCATAATACTTCCGCTGTTCGTACCGGTACTCGTTCAGCTCCTCCTGGTCCGCGATCTTCCGTTTCGGCGCCGCGTAGACATCCTCCGAGCGCTCGTTCGCCTCGCGCACGATCTGTTCCGCCGTGATTTGCACCGGCGCCGGCGCCTTGTTCTTCACCCGCGTCGTCTTCGGTGCGTTCGACATCTTCTCGCCCCGATTCGCGCGCGGTCGACGCGCGCGCGGACGTCGCGCGCGCGTCGCGACGTGCGTCGTCGCCACCGTCGCGCGCCGCCTCGGGTCGCGTCGTGTGTGCACACGTGTACGGCTTTTGTTTACACCGCGTCGCCGACGCGCCCGACGCCGACGCGCGCGCGTCGCAGCGCGCGACGCCCGAGCGGGTCGAGCGCGATCGACGCGTTCGTCGACCGAGGCCGGGGCGAGCGTCGCGCGCGACGACGACGCGCGCGACGACGGGACGTCGCGCGGCGCGCGTGGTGTCGGTGCGCGTTTAGTGTTCACGCGCGGTCGCGATGGGTGTTGACGAGGACGCGCGCGCGCGGATGGATTCCGCGACGGCGTCGTCGACGAAAACAACGGTGGGTGATTTGGACGAAGCTCTTGGAGCGAGAGGGAGGGCGCTGGAGGCGTTCGAGACGCGGTACACGGAGACGCGAGACGCGTACCTGGACAACGTGAAGTACCTCGCGATGCTCGTCGTGGTGTGGAATCACTCTTTGCAGGACTTCTTAAAGGCGCTGGATAAGCACGAGAATAGAGGGTGGTGCGAGATGGACGCGACGAATAGGTTCTCCAACGTGCACGCGCGGGCGTTTTACTTGTTGCTCAACGTGATTGGCATGCCCGTGTTCACGTGCGTGAGCGGGTATCTGTCTAGGAGTTGGCTCAACGCGGCGAGGGAGGACGAGGCGAGCGCGGCGAATTTGTTGGTGCGCGTGCGATCTTCCACGGCGA